GACTCACTTTTAGTTGTGATTTTGGTCTGTTTGAAGGCAACACTTTCTCCCAAACATATAGCATGTAACTTCCTGATCCTGAATGTGGAGATTATAGCAATATTATCTTGAAGGTTATGTGAAACAGTTTCAATAAAGAAAATAAAAAGAAAAAAATATTAATTAGGCTAATAAAATTGCAAACTCACCATCAGATAAATTATCGACTAGAGATAAACAACTTTAAATGTCTTTAGCAAACAGGAAACAAACTCAGCAAAGACGGGTTTGTCGTCCTTCTGTTGACCAGGTTTTTAGCTGACTACTCCAAAGAAATCAAATTTTTTGGATTAAAACACAATTAATGTTTGTCAGCATATGATATTTTTGGTGTTTTTCATAGATCCAGACAAGAAGGCAGAATTCTCACAGCCTGAAAGAAACAAAGTACCCACTGATTCAGCCCAATATTGGGTCTATGCTAACTTAAAGTGGCAAATTCCTTCACCTGACTACAATATGTTCTTTATGAACAAGTATAGACAGTACATTCATAAATGTTCACATAAAGAGTGGAAACGTCTGAGCACTGAGTCCCACTGTAACATTAGTACAGCACAATGAATCAGTCAGATCAAATCCTCTCATTGTTCTTCAGGATATCTCACAGGAAAACAAGACATTCCTTCCTCATTCAGTAAGGCCACTTTTACATTCCACCCAGACATTCGGATACGAGTGAGAAATTAAAGAAAATAATCTGCTGATTATTTGCAGATGTTGCCGGGTGTGAAGACTTGTACGATTAGCTACTTCCATTTCTGCCTCCTGAATTTGTAACACACCCACCTTTTCGCTCCAAGCCCACAAGCCGATGCCAAGGAAGGCTATTCCGAGTAACTGAAAGAGAGGGGAGACCAGAAAGTAGAGAGGTTACTACTTAGTGTTGACTACAACATGTAGACATCACACAGGAGCACATGACAAGAGAACACAGACTTTTTCTGGCTCTGGTCCACAGCTAAGAAGCTCCCATCTCAGTCTGCAGAATCAGCAGGAAGCTCCCACATCAAGAAGCATCTTTAAACTGCTTTATTACGGGGGATTTAGGAATGCTTCCTGCCTAGTTTGCAGAAATTCAAGGATTTGCATCAGATATTTTTTTTTTGATCTGATTGGGGTATTAAGATGTACCTCATGGTAATGTCATGCAATTAAGCATATTATCACATTCATGGCATTAAATTTTAACATTGAGTCGTCGACTAAAATAGCGGTGGTCTCCCTCCTGAACCTGTTGCCCCTTTTACCTGTTTTCTGTTAAGTGGAAGAAAGGATGGGTGATGGATGGATTATTTTGAATAACTTCAAGATGTATTATGATTATTTACTGATGAGGGAGATGGTGACTACTTGTTGATGATGATCATTTCTGTCAGTCTGCCCAATGGAAGCTTTGGCTTAATGCAGCTTGCTACCATTTGTGTGTGAATGTGTGTGCGCGCGCGAATGGGTTAATTGTCTGAAACCACTTTGGAGTCCTCTGACTTTATAAAGTGCTGCAGAAATGCAGGCCATTTACCATATGTGGAGTTAATCACTGATAAGCTCCTTTGTTTACATTGTGTCTGGTTTTATGTTATCCAAGAGAGACTAAATATGCAATCCCAGAACGGGTTGTTATCACCATATCAAGCCAACATTAATTATCAAGCTTTTAAGGGGTTTTATAGGCCTGAGCATGACTTTGGTTTAGGTTTAATAACATGGAGTTACATTTAAATCTTCCATCTAAACTCTTCAGTCCCAGGGCTTTATCTAGCTACTATTTATCTTTTTTCTGAACATAAAGTTCTCCACATAGTAGGTCAAACAAACACATTTTTACAAGTCTGTGTTTTAAAAAAATTACAGCACTGTCCAACGTAGTATCTGAAATTAAGATGGACCGATGAGGCCTTTCCTGGCTGATACAGACTTTCGATTTTCGTTTATTTCTGACCTGGCTACTAATTTTTTTCAGATACCAATTTTATTTATTAAAACTATTAATACTTATTTAATTTCCATTTAGGATTGATTAAGTATGTTTGAATTTGATTGAAAAAAAAAGAAGATATAAAATAGTAAAACCAAAGATGAATACCCAGATGGTGGAGCATTATAAATCAGCAGCAGATTCCCAGATCATCAATTTAACGAAGAGTTTACTCTAGATTCATTGATCCACCTCAAAATAAGTTAATTAGAAACAGTGTTATTTTGCCTGTTAGGAAAAAAACAAATTCTCTTTATACTTTAAAGTGAATACTTTAGGGGATTTATGTCTCTTGGAGTGGGATTTGTGATTAAATGTAAAGTCTGCTGGACACTTTTTGATCAATGTGTGAATTTAGGTCAACAAACACTCTGGAAAAAGAAACAGGTCACATCTGCCTTAACTCAGGGTTAAGATAGGTCAAACAGTATGAACATAGACATGTTTCGCATTAAGCTGCATTTTCTTTACTTATTTCTATCACTGAAAAATGGCATCACTGTCCTCTTTAGAATCTCAGCCACTAAAACTATAAATCAGGTGCCAGACCTGAGCACCTGATGCAAGATACATTAAATATTGCTATTGCAATATTGCACAAAAACACTGTGAATTGTCTGTTTGCCTACTGTGAATTGTAGTAGTTGTATTCAGAATGACTACACTCCTGAACCTACAGACAAAATCACAACGTAAATATTTATATCTAAGCACATGTAATACGTTAGGATGGCCTACTCAAAGTCCAGACCTTAAGTCAATTGAGAATCGGTGGTTTATGAAACCTGTAAAGCTGTTCATAGAGATTCCTTCCACTCGGACTGAGCTTGAGCTGTTTTATGAAGAAGATTGGTAAAAATAAATATAATGAGCAGATGTGCATAGCTGGTAGAAATAACCCTCACAGAACTGCAGTTGTAACAGCTGCAATAGGTCATCTCTTAGGCAAAAGACAAATGCAGGACATAATTTTTTCGTCTTTAAGACAGCATACACTCAACAAATTCATATTCATTAAATAATTAGAAACAGTAAGAACACCTGGAAAACTGTCATATTTAAGTTTTAGGAAAGCCCTGCACATAGACACTCGTTTGATAGAACCAAATGTTTTATCCAAAGGGGAAATATTGTCATTTTGAACCAAGTTCTCATCTCATCTTGTCAATAAATGCCCTTTCTGATCAACACATCTTCATAAAGCCAGCATTATTTAAAACCTGACAGCACTGAGTAAGGTGCCCAGTGCTGCTAGCTGTTAGGCGGGAGGCCCACGGCGAAGTGTTGCATGATGTGTTTGTTTTCCTTCGTGGGAGCTCCACGCTGCTGCACAGCACGACCAGAGATGTTGACAGCTCCGAGCGCACTTTCCCCTGCACAAACATTTATCACTGCGGCCGCAATCAAACAAAAGCGAAAGCGTTGCTGATGGGTGACAAAGGGAGCAAGTGCGCGAGAATGAAACCTATCCTGTCCGGCAGGGAGCCGCGAGAGACACCGTGCGTTAGAGAGCGGGGTCTGGGCAGCAGGCGGGACTCACCCAGAATATGATGTTGAATCCGAAAATGAAATACTTGATGCAGCAGCTCACTTCCTGAGCTTTGAAGTGCTTCCCTGACATCATCTGGACGGCTTCGGTTTCAGAGGGTCGTCCGCACCAATGGGAGGATTCGCATCGACGCCTCTCTGATGTTTGACAACAACCTGGCGGCTCGGGTGGAAACACCCTTCAATGTTTTTGACGGCTCCAAATTTCAGCGGCTCATTGGAAGCATCGTTCTGCGTCTCCGCGGAGAAAAGGCGCAGATGGAGCTGCGGAGCGCGGTCCACTCAGGACCACAAAGAGGACAGCTGGAGCGAGTCCACTGTGAGAGCCTGGATAGAGATGGTGGTCCCCCCAGCTGACCCGCAGTTCAGACCAAAGACATAGCGGTTGTCATCTGAGGGGCGTTTCTGAGAGCCAATCAGAATATGTTGCTGTTTTAGAGGGCGGGACTTCCTCTTGGGCCCACGATCTAATGTAGGATATTATCATAAATACGTATTCATGTCTATGAATATTGTTCCCGAATCTCTTATTTTTTGTTACATTTAGCTAATTTGCTTGAACTACATAATAATAATAACAGTAGTAATTATAATAATCATCATCATCATCATTACATAGTTATCTTCTTGTCACACTTAAATGTTTCAAATGATTAAACATAATTATATAATAGTAATAATTATAGTAACAATAATAAAAACTATTATTATTGTTGTTACTACTACTACTACAACTAATAATAATAATAATAATAATAATAATAATAATAATAATAATGCACATGTTATCTTATTATCATTAATGTTGTTGTTGTTGATGATAATAAAAACATAACTTGGGCTATTACTTCACCCTGTGGCTTTATTTTTAACAAAGAACACACTGTCCTACAAAGACGGATTGTAACGTTAAACTGAAAATCCTGTGACTCACAGTTAAATCTTCTGGAAGTTTTCTTATAAAGTGGAATACAGCATTGAGGTTCTTTATTCCATCTGAGTTCATAGTTTTCTGTTTTAGTGCTATACTAAAACAGAAAACTGTACAATAATAAGCAACTTATTATTGTACAGCAATAGAGAGCAGATTCATTCAAACCTTTACAGTGTGGGTTGTAATAATCCTGAGGCTGTCATGATTCAGTGGATTTATATCAACGATAAGCCGGTTGAAAGAGTTTCGAACACGTAGCAACGACGCCGTCTAGCGGCAGCTGCTGTTACCTGCATTTCCGTTAAGCCGTTAATTGTTTGCCACCGTTTCAGAAACATTGAACTATCGGTAAATAGAGAACAGAGTTGTTAACCTGATTTACAAAGGTGTCAAAAGGTTAGTCTCAGTTATAGGAAAATAAGCCACAATGCAACTTATGTACATTTACCAAAATAATCAAACTTCATGAGTCAGCAGTTGGACAATAAACACAAAAGTAGCCATGTTCAAAATTTTGTTTATTACAGAAAATATCAAAACTCTAATCTGCTACAAATATTTGTGTACAAAACAGGATAATTTATGAAAATAAATATTTCTGTGCAACTTATCTGTATTGAGAATGCAAGTGGAGAAACACTGAGATTCATACAGATTTGAGCCAATAACAATCCTTCCTTATTGTCAAGCATCACAACGCAGAAAGCATCATTTAAAGCCCTTCTTTCTTTACACTGGATGCTTAATGTGATGCTGATTAGCTTCTTATGGCATGAGTGTTTTCACTTTCACTGCAGGACACAATGAGCTCATCACTTTCAGCCACCTGTATTATTCAACGTGTTGTGCGTGACACTGCAGGTACTTTTGGTATCTCTTCACATCATCAAACTTCCCTAAAGTTTCTCTAAAAACATCTAGCAGAACAAAAAGCTGAAACACTGTAAAATGGAAATGGAAACATATTTAGGCTAACAACAAATTATTTTCTGAAAAAATATTGTCTCAGAATCATTTTTGTCGGGTTTCTGAAAATTGTAACCCTTCATCGACCTTTTGTGATTGCACAACTCATTTTGACATCTTTAGTTGCTCAAAATCTTTGCATGCAGTTCGAGCGGAAAAGTCAAACTGAGTGAGGCTTTGACATGTCAAACAAATATCTGAGAAGCAAAAACGTAAACAGTTCTTATCCTTTGGGGTTGGCATTTCATTTAAAAACATCAAAAATACATCCCTCTATTTCATACATTGGCAGTTTTTCAATAATGACTCCAACATAGTTTTGGTATAATGGACAAAAAAAAAATAGACTTGGCTCATAGGCGCCAAAACTAACTTACAGAAACAATGCACATTCACTTGCAATTACTATTCCATTTTTTTATCTCAATATCTTGGCTGAAATGTCTTTACATTTTATATTGCATTAACCTTGAGGAGTAGTCACTAGATGAAATATCCTAATTTTAAATGAAGTATAATAAACCTGGTCAACTCTTAAATACTAACATTACAAGACAAATTTTTGAGCAAAATAGTTTATCAACCATGTTCTGATATCAAAATCTAACTCTTCATTTCTCTATCTTGTCAATATTCTGCATTCACCACGATTAAAGGTACCACCTTCTATACGAATAAAGGAAACACAATATGTTCTTTAAAATTATTATCAGGGTAGCTTGCTTGAAGTAAGGAACACATCAGCCAAAAAGAGACCAAAGGCTTGGTGTGAATTATGTTCTCGTAAGGAACCAGCTTATAATTTCAAAAATCTGCAGACAGATAACTGCAACACTATCACTCTGAGACGGTTACACGATGTCCCAGCCAAAGCCTGAGTATAGGTGTAGAACACTACAAAGGTTTGTTGGCTTTGATATGTTTTGTAAGAGATACCCTGCATCATATTTCACAAACTAATGACATCAGAGTTGCATAAATCCCTGCTCCATTGGGATTCAAAGAGGATTCCAGAGCAGAAAAAAAGTTTATACTCTGTGACAAGTGCATCGTCTCCTCCGGACAAATCAAAAAGAACGCAATGGGGGCAACATGACTCGCAGATGGACTGCCAAATCATGCTGGTGTTAAAATTGTAGAGCTGAGAGCTTCTAAGGCCACCTTAAGTCACCTTAATGGAGGATTTCTTATGGACGCAGAGTAACGAAACATACGGCACACCGATAAAGGCCCACTTCTCGTTGGGCCAGAACATGATGACCGGCCCTTGTTCCGGCGCCTCGGTCACCACGTGGAAGTAGGCGAAACAGACGCAGCCTAAGTAGGAGGCCAGACAGATAAGGATGTGCCTGTAGGAGGAGGAGAGTATCAGTAAAGCAATGCTAAGTGTGGCAATGCATTTTTCTTTACAGTCTAACATTCTGACATTCTTAAAGAACCTTGGGAAGACAACCAGGTCAATGCATTTTACTGTGATAGGGTACTTCAAAACTGAGCTGAAAGAAAAATCTGTTTGAAATGTTTCTTTTTCATTTATTTGTTTTACAAGTTGAAATCTGAAATGTCTGGTGTATTGATACTCCAAAATAAAATCCACTCCGAAATAAATTGCCTGTGGTATATCTGTATGAGTTCTGAATGGAAGCGTGTCGACAAACTGACTTTTTCTTCTTTGTACAGCAACTCAAGCTTAGATTGCTTAGACAGTATGAGTTCTCCGACTTGACTCTCAGCTCACCAAGCACAGTGTAAGTAGGGGAAGTTGACCGACGACCACATTTCGCAGAATATCCTGTCGCTGATCCAGCAGAGCAGAGCCAATGCCCACCAGATCCCAGAAATCAGCCCGAGCTTGAACACACGCGAGTTTTCACACCTGCAATGAGAGTGAGATGAGAAATGTGTGCGAGGCTGAACACACACACAGGTGCGTTTCAGTCTCAGAGAATAAAATCTTGAGCGAAGCTAAAATAAAATGGCTAAAAACAACATCATTGGACAGCAATGACCCAGTCAGTTGCTTCAGAATTAATGCAGATACTTTTCCATTGCAGTTTAATGATTACATCTAATGCAACAATTATCAGAGTCTGTCACTAAGTGTTGATAGTTATCTTGGTTCAATTTCTATAAATGATTTATCTGTGTGAAAAAATTTTATTATACATTTTGTAAAAATCTAGAGTTTTGGGTGCACTCACTTTACAAAAACCTTTCCATTTTGCTTCAATTGTTATAGAAATAACTCATAAGTAAAATAAGTACACCACTACATGGTGGGATGTGTCGTGTGGGGTTTTTTTTGCTTGAGGTTATATTTAAATTATTCTAACGCATTAATTTACGCATTAAAACAGACGGTGCACTCTGGTACAACTGTGACTGCATTGTGAAGAAATATTCCACTGTGTGTCTAATAAGGAGGGTTTTTTTGGTCTTAAATAGCCTTGATGTTGCCACATGTGGGTGTTTAAGAGGGAAAGTTGTATGTAATCCCCACGTAAATAAACATCTCCTGACCTACAAAGACGTGCTAATCCAGAGTGCCACTGATAAGCTATTCTTAGTGTTGTCCTCCTTAGAAATTCTTGTGACACTGAGGCAGAGACATGGAGGCCTGGCTGTGACAGAGCTGTCCTGATGACGCAGCAGTGTGCTGGCGGAGACGCACCGTTTCACTGGTGCCTTATTTGGTGCCATTGTTCCAAGGAGAGATGAGTCAAACAGCACTTGAAACATGGTTTCAGTTTTTAACCTTTGTTCCCATTCAGGCTTATTGTGTGCGCTGACATAATTATAACACCAGCTGTGAGTTTGGTTGAGAAGACCACAAGAGTTTTGTTGTTCTGGTTGCGAGTTTATGTCCATGTTTGTGTATGTGGTGCTGGGGATGTTCTTAACGGCTAACAGGTCCTTGTTTAACCAAAGCATTGTCCCATTTTCAGCACAGGATGCCTCTTGTTCTTAGTGTAAGAAGGAGGATCAGCTCCTCTAAATCTTAAGCCATTGTTCTCAACCAAAAATCACTTATTAGGTATTTTTGGTCAAGTTTCTTGTGCAAATATCTTAGTGCACTGAAAATAGGCCAAAGCTAACTTACAAGTAGCTTTTTTTTCAGAGAGATATAGTAGACTGTTTTAGTAAATAATTCCTTAATATTGATGAAAATTTACTTGTTCAACTGGCAGAATATTTTACTTATAGGATGGGAAAATGTATTGTAATGTATTAAATTATCTGCCAGTAGAACTAATACTTAAAAAAATAAATGTTAAGGAACTGATTATTTACAGGGACAGTATCACGTAAAATCTACTTTTTTCATCATGTTATAATGTTGTTCTCTCATCAAAAACATACCGAGAGTGTTGCCTTAATTCTTTCATCCATGTTTGAGAAATCTTTTAATCTGCTATGGCAACAGTTCAGCTGTCGAAACCACCTGGTTGGACCAAGTGCCACCTTCAAGGCAAAGCTCCTCCTTGAAGCTGCAGTTTCTGAGCTAATTCTCAGTGTAACACTTGTAAAAACATTGTTAAAGGGTTAATAGAAAAGCGATGTTGTGATAATTTCCTGAAGGTGGAGTTTCAGAAAGAGCAAGAGTCCTTAAGGAGACAGAGGCCCAATTTCAAGGCATTAAATCAAGAAGTAAAATTGCTTTTATATCATTTAAATAAGTGATATTTGACATATATAGCATTTTTATGACAGCTAAAGGTAACACAGTTATTTGATTATGTTATAAAATGACACTATTTGCCTTGAAAAGCAAATGTTTACAGTCACTGGTCCTTAGGTCCCATCCCTGACTAATGGTCATCATGAATTGATCATGACTGAAGAAAAACGTCCTGAATTCAAGCTGGAATGAAAAGGATCTTTGTAGTGGGAAAAGAGTGCCATCGCCTGGGATGGAGTTTGAAGAAGAGCAGCTACTCTTCTGCTTTGAAACGAGTCAGCTGAGATGGTTTGGGCATAAAATGTGGCAAAAAGACAAATCTAAATTACTTGACTCATTCTGCCCACATTTTTATGAAGGGAAGAAAGTCAGCTGATCAGCCTTGCTGGTGAAGTGTCTCTATGTTATGTAACCATTTTAAGGAAACAGGAAAGGGGTAACAGTGTCTCATTAGCAACAGGAACTAGAAGACTACAAAGGGAAAAAGTCATTAAACCATCATTATAACTCCGATATACACTAAATATTTGTATTCCCAAAAAAGAAAATCTTTACTGTTCTCAAAGCTTTGCACCCTTTGGCCTTTATAACTTAATGTACAGATTGTCCTCGGTTGACTAACTTCCTGCCAACGAAAACTATCAGTAGGCTGCAGGATATCTGCTGTCCTCTCATGTTGCAGGAGAAACGAAGATAAAAAAACCCGACAGAACAAAGAGTCCCGTTAGGAGGAAACATCGCTGAATGTCCTGGAGAATTTGAGAAAGAAAAAAATCTTAATTAGTGCAACTTGTTGGGAGTTGTTTACCTAGTGGACATATTTTCTACTAATGATGCAATAAATTGCTTATTTGATGTCAAGAGCCCGACTGAAGCTATGCGAAGAACTTAGTTTGAGTCCTCTGATTCCAAACACCCAAAAAATATTCTTGGAATTCAAAGTCAGCAGAATTTAGGAGACAGAGAGAGAAAAGCAGAGATACCTGACCTGCTTTTATTGCTTTCCCATCCAAAGTCACAAATTAAAGGTAGTAATATCTAAAGGTAAGATAATATCTAAATTACAACTATCTTTACAGAACCTTTTGGAATGCTTAAAGAAAAACAAAAGATTAATATTGAAAGTAGCCAATGGCAACTGTTCACTTTATGATGTAGAATCTGTGGAGCCAGTTTTTTTTTTTTTTTTTTTTTTTTCAAAAGTACCATTAATCTTGGTTGAGTGTGTGGCATATTAAGCTCCAAGAAATACCTGTAATTTTACATGTAAAAGTCTGATAGATTCTGCTAGTGGACTGAATATGAGAAAACCTGGGATGAAATACAAACATCAGAGAGATAAAAATCTCTCTCTGTATGCTCCAACCTTATGAAATGTTATAGAAGACTAAGTATACAAAGTATTCAATGCGAAGGCAGCAATTAGTGTACCAGAAATTATTTAGTTTGAAAATTGTTTTCCAAGTGGCTTTCATGCAGGAAATGGGCTGTGAGAGAGAGAAAGAAATGCAGCAAAGGTCTCAAGGTTGGAAACTGAAGCCCTGATGGCCTTCACAAATAGCACACCCACTGCAGCTTAAATGCTGCACCAAAAAACAACAACTCCCTGTCATAATATATTTTCCATTCTTGAAGAATTTACACAAACTGAAAGTTGGATTTGCCTATAGCTTTAAATTATAATGTAATATATTTGTTATTTTTATTATTTAGTGTGCGATTACACGATTGCAGTTAAACATGTTTATTTTCAGGGTTTTTTTCATCATCTCTTCATCTTCTCTTATAATGCCAACACATTTTATGGCAAAACTCTGACTAGAATTTCTGGTTTTACACTTTCCGCTTAAATAAGCGTTATATTGTCCGTCTGAAAACACAGAGCACTTTGTTTTTTTTTGCAGCTGGAACTCCGTCAAAGGGGGGTCAAGAGTCACAGTGTAGAAAAGTCAAACAACAACAAAACAGTATGTTCTTTCTGAGGGCAGGAGTCCATCAGCCATGTCTACAGGAACTATGTCTGGTCTTGCAAAATAACAAGAGGCTTTAACAGATGACTGGTGCTGCGATAATGTCAAGAACTAGCCAGAAATGAAACAATAGGTGACCTAATGTTTCAGGACTGATGCTTGTAAGTGTTGAAAAAGCACAACATGTAGATACTGAGACAGAGGAAATGCCAAGAGGCTCTCACACAGGCTCTCTTTGACACAAACAAGGAGTTTGTTGGAAATGTGTTTTCAGGGACATATGAGCATAAAAATAATCAATTAGTCAGGATAAGAAAACAAGCCTTCAACATTAAAATTGCAAGAGATTTAAGATCAAATGTTGTTGTGCTTTGGACGGTGAAGCCATTAGGGTTTTCTTCCTGTTCTGACCTCATCATGTTATTGCTACATAAGGCACTGAGCCGTAGTGATGAGTCGTCCTTTATGTCTTGCTCCTAGATCTAAGAAGTCTTGATTAATGGTTCTTCTGGGTTTCAGGAGGTTTCACTCCTTCTCTTTAGAATTTTTTTCTCACTCATTTTTTTGGTTGTTTTAGCCATTTAACTTTTGATCCATAAATTATTAAGGCATTATGAGATTCCTATAATCAGAGTGCTGTGCCTCCTTCAACACTCAACACCCACCTGTTATTTCATCCTAATGTATTTTCATTGTGTGTCATTAACCATTTGCATGCATGTACTTAGCCACCGCATATAAATGCATTAGAAAAATGCTAAAATCAAAGTGTAATTAAAATTTTTTTTCATAAGACCCTTAATCTTATGAAATGTCACATGACCACATTTACTTAAAGGAAACAATGAGCAAATGGCACACAAATTCCTTAAAATTATTAGCTTCCATTCTGCTTCAATAGTGACAGCGTTACCAAAACAGTGAATGATTTATGACAGAAACAAAGGACTTCAACTAAAAATCTTGGAAAATAAATTTAGAAATAACAGGAACAACTTAAAAAATATTTTGCAGCTTGAATTTGAATGGCAAATTCCTAAACCGACACACTCATAGCATGACTCACAAATGTAGAGAAACAATGGAATGGACACAAAAACAAGTTAGAGTTGGAAATGAGTCAGCGATAGAAATGGCACAAACAAAGCCAGTCATTTTCATGAAGATATTATGTAGCATTTATTGCTCATACAAATTTTACTCTGTTTCTGATTGACTCATGCAGAGCAGAAGGTTCACATTTTGTTGTATGATGTTGCGTAATGCATGCTGAGATCAGATAATCTCTCCTCACCTTTTCAGCTCTGTGATAAGAAGCACTGTGCAGGGGATGCCCAGAGTCATGAGCGACAGCGAGTTGACCACAGGTTTAACAAAAGCCAGTCCAGTGGTGATCCCAGACAGAATGCCGATGACCACTTTAAACCTTAAACTACATAAAGAAGCAGAAAAAAGCAACAAGGATATGAAAATCTCTGGATGGCAGCCATCCAGAGATTTTGTTTATTCACTTCTAGTTTGTGTAGATAATGTATTCCTGTATGAACGTAATAATTTCACTTGTATTAAGCAAATCCAAGTCATTTACTCTAGTTGTGTTAGAATTAATCAGACCTTTTACTGTAGTTATATTGTGCTTTTCTGTTGTTTCATTTTCTCTCCATGTGATTTTAGCCAACTCCTGTTCTATTTTACCTGCTTGAGGAAAAGAAAGACCACTCGATTCAAATAATTCACAACCACTTGGTTCAGCTGCCGATGGGCAATAAGCAGAGAAAATATTAAGCGACAGCTTGCAGCAGGAGAGCTGCCATCAAGTCTCTGTGACAATATAAGAAGTACAGACATGTGATGCTGCTTTTACTGGTGTCAGCTATCTTGGATGTGCCTATATTTAGATATAATGAGTCATAACAGTAAATGCATCATGAGAGAAGCCAATGACCCATAGTAAACTCCACTTCTGTCTCTTAAAATAGACAAATAAATTAACCAATTAGCCTTTTCCTTACATCTCAAACCGTATTTCTGCTTCCTGCAGGTTTCACTTGGAATGATCAACATACCGATTTCTCCTGAACATCTTTGGCAGGTATCTCTTTGGAAACCACATGGCGATGGCGCACATGAGGACCCAAAGGATGGCCAGCTCATCCAGCATTTGGCCGAGGAAGCTGAGTGTGGCATGAAAATACGTTGATCCAATGCCTGTGAGAAAGAAATTCGCAAAGATAAATAAAAATAAGTGTGGACAATAACTGAAGGACATTTCTATTTTAAAACAACTTCTGTTGTTGTTAGAATTAAACAGTGAGTGGAAAGTTCAATGCATGAAACGACCAAAACTGGTAAGTTACAAAATCACAAAGGAATGATGTGATCAAAACCTACTAGGGATTTTATTAGGGCCACATATCTGCTTATCCACCAAGTTGTCAAAACAATTAGGTCATTTTATGAATCACTAAAACCTGCAATATACACCCTAAATAACCTATGGCACAGCTGCTGCATATTAATTTTATTTTATATTATAAAATGAACTATGAATGCCAATTGAGAAAAACATTTTATTTTAAAACCGAGGTTTTTTTTGCATTCATTATGCATTTAAAAAGCCTTTTATGCTTATTTTAACATCATTAAGTCGTCAACTAAAAAAAAATTATTAGCTTCCATTCTAAAAATGGAAGCTAAAATATTCTTAATGGGACACAGTCACAACATTGCTGTAACGCCACATATAGGGTTTTTTTCTTATTCTATAGTCATGCATGAAGAATCTACCAAGGTATGGGTTAAGGATTAAAGAAAGTTTTTTAAATGAGTATATTTTCAAAACATCCTCATCAATCTGCCCGTATGGTTTAAAGTCTGTGTAATAAGATGCTAGAGAAAGATCCAGAATGACTACTGAGTAATGCCATAACTCCCCTTCCCCACCTGTTGCTACACACCTACTGTCAGCTGAATGAAAACTCCTTAAGGCTTTTCATATATGATATATATACACAGAGAGACAGACAGACAGAGAGAGAGATGATACTAATAGTAATACTGCACACCGAAATAAAATAAATAAAAAAATCTTAAATTCTGCTTGCTTTAGTCTATGAATCTGCCCCGTTTCTGAAAAATGGAACCAAATGCCTCATGGTCTCTTCTTTTTTCTTTAGCTGTAAGGAAAATTGTTTCCAAATGAGCCGAAAATGTAGGCTCTAAAACGGTAAATTATACAAAGTGGCTCTAATAAACTGCAGAAGAGAAGGGTTAAAAACAATGTAGTTGGAAGTATAAACATTTACAAATGTTTTTTTTAATTGTATGTCTTGATCTGAAAAGGAAATCAATATGATTATTTTTATCAGAACAAATATCAAGCTAGTAGATCATAGCTTCATTTTTAAGCAAATATAGTTAAAATGCACGTCTGATTTATAGATCACAGCAGTGAATGGAGCCGTTGTGTGTGAATGGAGGTCAAGCGCCTCGTTTTCTCAGCGCTGTTTGAAAACACGCAGGTTGCATAGTCAGCAAAGATAACCAGAACCACCCACCACCACCAAGTCCTCCACCCAACCCTCCCCTCACCGGTTCCTGAGAGGTGACCTCAGTCTGAGAAAAAAAATCCAATGGAAACACTGAGCAGACTCGTTAATCATGTAAATCGCTGCAGTAATCACTTCTAAAGTGGAAAATTAGCACAATCACATTTCCTTTCGTCTTCGTCTGTGTCAGTAGGTAACAGGACCTCAGACCAGTGGACAAAGATCAGTAAGTTCATCAAGTGTTTTTATAAATTTGTGCTGAACTCTGATCTAAATTGTTCATTTTGGAAAATGAACGATTATATTATGCCCCCAATTATTATATACATGAAAACCAGAGTCAGTGAAAGTTCATGAAGGAGCTCAAGTTTATTATTTTCAAGAAACATACTATCCATATTTCAAATTGTAGAATAGTAGACATGGATATTGCAATTTAGTATTTTGTGCAACTTCCATTTTTAAATAATTGGATTTAAGAAGATTATCTAGAGAAACACACACACCTCCAGAACCAAACATAAAAGAGTGACTGAGTGTCATGGCATAGTTTGGAGCACAGTTACATGATCAAGGTTTCCCTGCGTTTACAAAATGATTTTTGAGTAACAAAGAAGACGAAATTAATCAAGAAGCAGATGGTGGAAATGCCCCCACCCTGGGAAGTGGGTTCTGATCTCAACTTGTATCCTGCCAGTCTGAGATTACATCAGCACACAGAGGACACCGAGGCAGACTGAGCAGATAACTTTGAATATTATAAAAGACTTTTCAGCAGCCGACCAGTCAGATGTGAATAATAGAAACTGCATGTGCACAGAGAAGAAGCTGCTTCTTTTCACCCACCAATAAAAACAATTAGCTCACTTTCTTCTTATTATTTTTTTAAACAAAAGCACTGAAGCTCTGAAGCTGAATGGGCTGCTCATCCTCACTATGAAGTAGAGGAGGTCTTTAACTTACCGACCACCACCAGCAGGATCCAGATGAGGTAGATCCCGCTGTTGAAATGCTGGGCATATTCACGGAACAGGAACATCAGTATGGGAGGCAAAACAAAGAACAAGACGTTGCTGATCTGAAATGAAACAACAACGCTTTGAGGAAACAGCACTGTGGCATCGAAACAACATGTTGCCCACTGTTGTCCAGCAGAGCAACTGAACTGGAGAGGAAAATATATGAAGCAGATTCACTTTTGAAAAGTCTCTTTAACTCATAATTATTGGCAACACGGTGGCGTGTTGGTGAAGTGTGAGAAGGCGATTCATGACGGAGAGAAACAAAAGCAGAGCAGCCCCGGTTGTAAACAAAAACTGCATTATGCAAAACACTGCTTACTCAACAGAGACTTCATACCGACCGTGTTGTAAAATTCTGCGATGCTGGGGTAGATGAGGTAATTCCCTTCACACCAGTCAACGTCGGAGCTGCCAGCCAACAACTGGTCCCAGAAAATCGGGTTGACGTTGCTCATGTCTGGACAAGTCCTGTGGAGTGGACAGCAGCGCCGTGCAGCCTCTGATCCTCCAGCAGATTAGAGCAAAACAAAACAACAGCCGGAGGAAAGTCTGCGATCTGAGCCAGCTCGGTGGCTGCACGCTAGCAGATCAAAGTCTGGATCCTGAGTCGGACTGTGGACAAGTGATGATGTCGGGATTCGCTCCTGTGCTGCATTTTCACTCAGTCCTTCCCTCTACAAAGCCTCTTCTCTGCTCTTCGTGACGCGCTGCCCCGTCCTCTGACAGCTGCTCGCTCTGGCCTCAAAGAGTGTTCACACGGAGCAAGAGGACTCACTCCGCCCTGCTTCCTTCTCCGGTAAAACCGGAAGTGTTTGGTGTTTTTTTTTAAACACTCACGATCAAAACCACACCATCAAACAAACAAACAAAAAACCCTACAAAAGCATAAGGCTTATTTAGTGAGTTGCTACCGTAACTAGAAAAATTGCTGTCCCTAACAGCCGTGAGAATGCATATTTGCGGACTGATTGCTGCAGAAAATAAAATAAAAAGCAGAACATAGCATAAGGAGTAGGGGGGGAAAGCAGAAAAAAGCTAGTTATGTATGGTAGAAATATTTTGCGAAAGAGTGAAAGTTTGCCAAAGATATACCACAGATTAGCAAAAGGAGAGATTTGTATAAAACCAGAAATAGTAGAAAAAGTTGAAAAAGTAAAACATAGCAAAAGAAATAGCTTAAAGTATCAAAAGAAGCAGAACATTTTGATAATTGCTAAAATTGATAAAAGTTTGCAGAATAACTTTCTAGACAGTAAAACCAGTAAAACAGAGGCATATACAGAAAGGTAGACAAGCAGAATGCTGACACACAGATATAAACAGAGCACAACAGAGAAATAAATTTAACGGAACAAGTCAATAGAACTTTTTCACGCTTCCGGGTTTGAAAGCGGATGTGGGGTTGGACAACTTCCGGTGGCTATAGCGTTCGCATTAAAAGGCTAGGAAATGGCTCAGTCTCGGCGCAGTTGTTTTTATTCAGTCCCTGGTTGTTCATGTGGGGCAAGAAAACAGCCTTATCTGTCATATCATGCGTTCCCGACGGACCCGGACCAACGGATGCAGTGGATCCAGTCGATCTGAAGAGATGAAGGTCCGGACTTTTGCATAAAGACGGGGAGCACTTTCGTATGTAGCCGCCACTTCACACCGGAGGATTTTGTTAGCGGATCCACCACCAGCCGCCTTAAAAGAAGAGCTGTTCCTTTCCTGTTTGCCTGGAATAACTTCACTGCACCGGCAATGAGAGAGACCCAGACCATTGCTCGGCTGCGGATCATTGTAGAGCGAGCAATCCTAGAGTAAAGTGCAACCACATCTGGGATTCCCCGGTGCCTCTTACTTTAAAGGAACTGTCAATCAAATCTGGCACAACTGTTGTGTTTTGGCAAATTATCAAGGCCCATTTTGTGTTGCAGACTAAATTATTTCTGTATGTTAATTGTTGTAATGCTATGTAAAAAGTTAAATGTCTAGACTTTTGCAAAAAATATTCAATAAAACACACTTTCGCAGCACACTTGACTTTCTTTTTGTATTAAGTTGAATTGCAAGAAAAACAAATCAAGTACAATTTACAATATATAGTAAAAACAAAAAAATCCATAACCATTTCATATTTTATAATTGTACACCATACATTGATTTAAAAAAAATACTTAAGGCAACCTCAAGGAGAAAAAATTTAAAACATAAGTTTCAAGACAACTGCAGTTAAGAAAACAAATTTTTGTAAATTATCCAACTGCTTTTTAAAGACATTTGCACATCTCTGTATGTTTCATGAGTAACAACTATTCACAGTGATTCACACAGCTTGAGATTGGATATTTGAAATGCAAAGGAACAAAAGGGTTAGTTACACATTTTATAATTCTTATTGCATTGACATGAATACATCAATGAATGTGTTGAATTAAAATAAGTCCAGTTTAGATTTCATTTGATCAATGAAAGCCTCATCACGCCACACCCGCTCAACAGTTATTGTTGTTAGCATGTCTGTTTCATGAGTAACAACTATTTGTTGTTAAAGTCGCACCATTCCAATTCGCTGATTGCCAGCAAGTACCTGCCAGTAGGCGTGTGAACGCCTCAAAACTGAGTGGTCATCCTGGACCTTGAGGTGAGCAACCTGAGATGCATCATTCTTCATGCTGCTTTTTACCTCAACCAGTTCAAACAGGGGTGATTCTGACGGGTCGTACACCTTTGCACCAAGATATGATGTGTCAGGGCGAACAATGAATCCCACAGGAAGCATGTTGACCCTCAACATCTCAGCTTAGTTTGCCAGCACCTCAGACTCCACCTGCAGACCACGCTTCATGGCCGCAGTTTGTCTAGTGGAGCCCCTAATCATCCGAGATGCCAGTGCTGTGGCAGCAGACTCCTCCTCTGCACTTCCTCTGCAAGCATCACGGAAACGGCTAGCAGTAAGTCTTGGTTGTCGAAGATGTACCCATACAGGACATCTGGACTGTTCTCTTGTTCTGGCTTCTATTTCATAAGACATTTCCAGTGACACTTGCAGAGAATGAAGATGCATGAGTTGACCAAGTGTGGGCACAAAGCACACATTTGGAAGACTATGCAGCATCAAAGGAAGAGAAGGGAATAATCCAGTAATTCAGCCTTTTCTTTTCCAACACCCAGTGATATCCAAAATAGACAACTGTTTTAGTAACACATATATACATCAATACATATAGCATGTTTAGCTTTAAACAATAGATTCTAGTTTGAATGCAAGCTTCAACAACAACAGAAAAAACACACACTGTTGCAACCGCAACATAAACAGAAAACAAATAGTCCCCTCTGAACAGGAAGCTGTTAGAAAAAGCTCTGAGTTGTCCAGAAGTCGTACGTGGAAGTTCTTCATCTGTCAAATATTATCAGTTGGAGTAAAACATTCCAAATACAGTAAACATAGCAATAACGACAATTTAACATTATATAACCTTGAACATCAGAGACAGTGTTAAGCATTGAAGGTAAAATAAATAATTTCTACAATGTAGAAAATGATGTCACATTAGCAGTGATATCAGTGTTACTGATATCACTGGTTGAGAGACCGCTCATCCCAGTGGAGAGCCATATAGTGAAAGTCGGAGCCCCTTTATGCATTTCACATACCCTTTTAAACATTTGCAGCCATTTTAAGTTAATTTTATTCATTGGAATACTTTCCAACTTGTGTAGGCTACAATGTCATGAGCTAATCTACTCTCTGGCGCCCTGCAGTGGTCAATATTGTTTGTGGCATTATATTCTTTCAATTACTGTCAATAATAATAAATGTTAAAATAATAATTATGAATAAAAACAGAAAATATTTAATCAAATGCTTATTTTAGTGTCTTTGTTATTATTTTTTACATTAATTTTCAGGGTTAAAAGTGAATATTAATATTCTGATAATTGCAGTGAGCTGCAAATACATATGATTATGACTCAGTAGACATATTGGTAACAAATCAAAATCGGCTTTATTTGCAAAGTTTCGTGCACACAAAAAAATTGGTTGACTTCAACTACACTCCGAAAAACATATTTTTTTCTACATATTGCATATCAAGTGTTTCACGAAAGTAAAATATAATGTTGAAATATAAATGAAAATAAACAAATACTATCTATTATTACATAATGGGTGTCAATAATTTCTAAAAAGGTAAAGAAAAAAAGGACGAATCATATAACATTGTATGATGTTAATGTTGCCTGTACTTTTATTTGTGTAAATGTGACGCTGCAGAGCAGCATTACGCCTCACGTTATGTAGGTTTAATTGTTATACGCTTGTCTTCTTCTAAGATTGACGTATATTGATGATAAAAAGTCAAAATAACATAAAATGACTTGATTTCGTTTCAATTTACTTTATTGACACGTTAACAGGGTCGTTCATGACAGCGAGTTAGCTATCGCGAGATTACTTTGTTCTATGTGAGATCACGGAGCGGATATCCTGCCTCTTTCCCCTGGCGGACCGTCGTTGGGTCGGTTTGGCAAAATGAAGGTACAACCATGAGTTGCTATTATTTTGTTTGAGAAAGCTAGTATCGTTAAAATATATTGGTTGAAATAAAGCCATCATCTTAAACTTTTAATGCGTTTAGTTTAATGCGGGTATTGTGGCTTTGTAGTTGAGGATGAGCTTTGATTGTGACGAGCTAGCTGACTAGCCCGTCGGAAAGTGAGCTGTAGAAACATGGCCGTACAGTGTGCAACTGCTTACATTGAAAAGTATTTGTGAAATTTATTTTATTGTTTCGAGGGAGACGCGCTTTTTAACAGCTTAATACAACAGTCTGGTTATGTTCTTGAAAAGACTACACACAACTAGTGTTTTCAACTTTGAATTGGACCCGGCAGAAAAGCTAACAGGCCTCTGTTCTACTCATTCGCCAATTGAAACTGGCACTATTTCTAGAACGTATTTAACAGATGTCTAGAAGTTTCATTAATTTTATTGATTATCCTAGTTATCACGTGTAGTTTTTGCATGTTGTCTATGTGTTTCTGTAATGATCAAAAGCTCTAACACTTATTTCTTACACATTGATTTTTAGCTAAACATCTCATTCCCTGCTACCGGCTGCCAGAAGCTGATTGAAGTTGATGATGAGAGGAAGCTGCGCATCTTTTATGAGAAGCGTATGGCCACTGAGGTGGCTGCTGACCCTTTGGGAGATGAGTGGAAGGTAAGTTTCTCTCTCCATTGCACATCATCATGGCACACCGGAGACCCTTGTGACTGACCCATAGTCTGTAAGGGGGGACAGTGTGTTGCCAGAGCAATAGTAGAGCAGCTTTCCAGATGCGATCAGCCCAGTTACCCGTGGCAGATTGAAACAGCTGGGCTCTCCCAATGACCTGTTGGAATAAATGAAACATCTGGGATTGTAATATGTATGACTTCCTTGTATTAGACACTACAGTTTAGTGCGTGAGGTGGGATTTGGAATTGGTTGGTTTGCTGACTGTAGCAAATTGGCAAGAATAAAGGTGTTGAGCATGTCTCTCTTTGAGACAAATTTTGTTTTGTGCAGTGTTGCATTGATACATATTTTTTCTTGCTAAAATAAGCATTTCTTCGAGTTTGTGATGGAAATGCAGATCACATTAGAATTGAATGTGTTTATCAGAATTCACTTTTTACATTTAAGATCAGATTTGCAGATTTTATAGCATCTGAAAGTCAGCATCACACATTTAAATATCTATATTTCAATGCTGTAAAATTCTAAATATGCCCATGGTTTAGAACAAAGTAACATTCAGTCTTCATGAATGTTTTGTACATAGTTTTGTCTATTTAAGTGTGACTTGATTAGGGATTTTAATGTTTGACTGAAAGATGACTGATGAATCTATGCATGTTCTGTAAAGTGAATAAGTGTAAGTAGTCTGGCTGCAAAAGTAATAGATCCACATGCCAGTCAAAAAACTCCAACCCAAATTATTCATCCCGTTAATTTGACTTGATTTGTTATTTATGTTGGTCTGACTTAATGACTCTCAAAAGGATTTAAGTCTGACATTTAGAGACTTGTGAAAACTCTTGGTTGTGGATTACTGATACTCTTTGTTAGGAATTGTTTAGGATTAGAACATTCTGAAAGGAAACTGCCTCTTTTTTTCTGCATATGTTAAAAACTATTTTTGTGTAGGGTTACGTGGTGCGCATCAGCGGCGGTAACGACAAGCAGGGCTTCCCCATGAAGCAGGGGGTACTAACTCATGGCCGTGTCCGCCTGCTGCTCAGCAAGGGCCATTCCTGCTACCGTCCCCGCAGGACCGGCGAGCGCAAGCGCAAGTCTGTCCGGGGTTGCATCGTTGATGCCAACCTCAGCGTTCTGAACTTGGTCATCGTCAAGAAAGGTAACCTGCACCTGGTGGAGGAAAACCCAACTGTGTAAAGCTTTTATTTATTCATGCTGGATTAGTAATGTTAGCCTATGTAGGTCAATGACTTGCTGCATATATAGATGGCACACCAAGGAGTCTCTTTTGACTGATTAATAGTCAAGTAAGAGGGGATAGTGTGTTGCCAGAGTAACTGTGGAGCTGCTTTCCAGATACGACCAGACCCAGTGAAAGTGGATGGTTGAACTGCAATGCTTCCTCACTATAACAACTGTGACAGTTTTTATAATGTGAAATTGAAATGTTTAGATCTTCTGTGTTTTGTTTCATATTTCTCCCACTCAGGAGAACTGATTATCTGGAACCCTGTATTATTTGAATTATTTTTGTTCCTCCCCTTAATAAATGAAGGCAGAGCTTAACTATCCTACTCTACGGAGCTGAAAACAATATAAAATCTGTTGTCATAAAACAGATAATGAATGGTTTGTCAAATGGCTAAATCTAATCTTGTCAGTAAACAATACCTTGTAACTGGTGCTATGTTGAAAAAAGAAAGCAAGCACCATGATCTTATTGTTTCCCTTCAATTTTAGAGTTGAGTATGTGTATCCCGTTTTAGATTTTGTAGAACTGAAAATTTGCTCTGTTATTCACTCACGTTCTGATGTCATTCCATTAAGGTGAGAAGGACATTCCTGGGTTGACCGACAGCACTGTCCCTCGCCGACTTGGTCCCAAGAGGGCCAGCAAGATCCGCAAGCTCTTCAACCTGGCCAAGGAGGATGACGTGAGGCAGTATGTCGTGAGGAGACCCCTGACTAAAGAAGGTGAATGTTGTGTCCAAGCCTGCATGAATGTTTTTACACGGAGATTATGGCGTGTAAATCAAAACCCAAAAGGAGGATTTTTGCTTTTAAATTTGTTGGAGGAGCCTCTGTTCTTTTTTTCTGTTTTTGATATATCATGTTGCACAATCCTTCTTTTGGTACATCTTTAACATTGTATAGGTGTATTAGTTTCTTTTTTAACATCAGTACTGCAAAATTGTGGGATCCATCACAATTTCTGTGTTTCCTTTCAAAAAGTAGAAAAGAGTATAATTCCAAATCTGGCTTTTTTGTGATTGAGCTGCTTTCTTATAGTTCAATGAAATTGACCATAGACCAACAATGATGTTTAGACTGAAGTAAGAGCTTCAACCTAGGAGAGCTAAGCAGTTTTTTTTTTTGCTGTCTTGAATTGTTTCTGATGGCCACTTCCCTCTTTTAGGCAAGAAGCCGAGAACTAAGGCCCCCAAGATCCAGAGACTGGTGACTCCTCGTGTGTTGCAGCACAAGCGCCGCCGCATTGCCCTCAAAAGACAACGCACCCAGAAGAACAAAGAGGAGGCCTCTGAGTATGCCAAGCTGCTGGCTAAGAGGATGAAGGTGCGCTCTATTTTCAAATGTTTTCTAAAAACAATACTACAGTCATTCCGGGCTTCAGAAGTATAAAGCCCGGATCAGAACTACAAAAAAAGTTATAGGATTACTGCTAAGACAGTGTGTCAATATTGAAGTCAAAATAAAGTTGATAATGACAAGACGGTTACTATTCCCACAGTCAGCATTTACATTTGTACTCTTATGGTTGGATCTTTGATTGCTGTTGAAAACATTTTTTCTGAGAATGTCTAAACCACCACCATATTTTTGTTTGTTCAAATTTTCTTTAATTCTTAAAAACAGGAGGCCAAGGAGAAGCGTCAGGAACAGATTGCCAAGAGGCGCCGCCTTTCTTCTCTGAGGGCATCCACATCCAAGTCAGAGTCCAGCCAAAAGTGAAATCCTCAAATAAAATAAAGTAACGTTTTGCTGAATAACTGCTGTGATTTGTGTTATTCAGCAAAATAACACTCAAAGAAAGATTTGGGTGTTATTTTGGTATTGATAGAAAATGCCAGATTTATACATTGAGATTCTATGAAAACTCAAGTCTTTGATTACAAGCAGCTGTACATTTGATTATAAACTAGTTGAACCTTACTGGCCCTTGATGCAACACAAAAAAAATGTCTAAGAGCTCTTTGGTGTTGCAATCACTTCATTATCACATTCTAAACAGTGCTGCAGCTCTTCAGCTTATTCCATTAAATTAAGCACAATCTTAGGCCTGCAGCAACAATTTGGTAATTGAGTATTATGAGAACTGGTTAAAGGACACATTCTTACCACTTAAGCTTATTTCATATCATGGTAAAATAAATTTGGTTCACCTGATTTAGTTTACACTTGATCATTTGTTGTAAAGTATGCATCTGCAGCTTTAAAAAGATGGCAAGTGAGACTTGGCCCTTTATCAGTGCAGTGTTGAGCTAATCACTTTGATTGAATAGTTTTGCCAAAGGAAATCAGGAATATATACACTGCTCAAAAAAATAAAGGGAACACTCAGATAACATACTAGATCTGAATGAATGAAATAAATATGAAAATTTCCACTTGTCTATTCCATTTGCACAACAGCAGGTGATATTGATTGTCAATCAGTGTTGCTTTCTAAGTGGACAGTTTGATTTCACAGAAGTTTGATTTACTTGGAGCTATATTGTGTTGAGTGTTCCCTTTATTTTTTTGAGCAGTACATATATATATATGCTCCAATTAACTTTTCAGCCTTAAACCTGAGGGATGAAAGTTGCAGTTCATCTGCAAATGTTTAATCATCTGTGTGAAAGTTTAGTCATTGCATGTGGGACACCAACCTTGATTCTATACCATAATTACTTTTATATGCACAATGTACCTTAGTGTGGTACTTTACAGTCTTTGGCAACAATATCCCCAAAGACTCAAGAATTTTAAGTGCATCTTTCAGAATTAGTGATTTGTCACTGAACTGGATTTGATTTTAAAATTTGCAATTTTATGCTAACAGATCATTAAGGTTCTTAAATGTTAATTTGACTTCAGATTTTTACAACACCCACCCTTAAATGCTACCTATTTAGAAATTAAGGTTATGCTTTCACAAAACTACAAATCTGACAATAACCTAATGTTTGAAATACTTGATCTCCCACCCCTTTGCAGTTTAATGCATTTATTCTGATAAACAGAAATTAATTTCAGACTGACCCTTTAGGGAAGCTAGAATTTGTTTTAAATAAGTTCAATTTATTTTTGATTGCAGTGTGACACAGGTGCATGTTTATGATTTGAACAAAAAACATGGGCTACAGAAACAATCAAGTTTCATGAAGCTTCTAATACATGATCATATCATTAAAGTACAGAATCAAAAAGTCAAAACTAATGACGAACACATCCTTTCACAATACAGCCGTTCTCAAACACAGATGTCCTGGTAGGTCTCAGTCGTAAAGCTGGTGTGCTCGGTGAGCGGCCCAGTTCCTTACAGAGAGGTGAACCCTCAGCAGTACAGACGCGAATTCTGCGTCGAGTACATTCTTGACGGGATGATGAAATTCTCAGGTTGCACATCTGGTTAACGAAGAGAAACACAGAAACCACCTGTTGCTGAAAGTATTGGGGTAACCCGTGGAGGCTCCACACCAGAGTCTGACAGCTCGTCTGAAGGTCCTGAACCAGAGTGGTGGGTTTGGATAAACGCTCCGTGATCTGTTGAATGGTGAATAAACATTAAGCAGCCACAGTGAAAATGCTGATTGTCATGTATTCAAAAAAAATAATAAAAAAATACTTGGGTTTCACTCTAAACCACAGGTGGGCAATGCTGGTCCTCGAGGGAAACTATAGCATGTCTCCCTGGTCCAACACAGCCAAATCAAATTGCTGAATCACCTCCAAAGTGCTGTCAAGTTCTCCAGAGTCCCGCTAATGACCTCATTATTTGACTCAGGTGTGTTAAAGTAGAGATGCATCTAAAAGTCCGTGGGCTGGAGTTGCCCACCCCTGCTCCAATCTAAAAATTAGGTGCAGCCAATTGCCTTGAAATAGGAAAACAATTTGCTTGTGTGTCATTTGTGGTGAAGGCTTCTGAGGTTTATTCAAGAACAAAACATTTGAAACATTGTTAAGCAGGAATATGCACAGCTGAAACATTGATCTCCTAAACCAACTGGACATCAAGGACAGAACCCAAGACACCAACAGAAACTGGGGATTTAAAACTGAAGTTGCTGTGTAACTTCATTGCTAGAGGGCCATTCTGCAACTTTTGAATGCATCTCTACTCAGACATCTAACTAAAATGACCTTTACAAAACTTGCTGAGACCCCAAGAAGTGAATTCTGCGTGGAGTAGGGATGCACCTAAAAGTTGCAGGACTCTGGGACTCTAGGGCTGATCCCTTCCCTAAAGTAATACATTTTCCTAAAAATGTCTCATGATGAAATGTCAAAAGTAAATTATCAAAAGACATAAAAAATTACAATAGGATAGTCCTTTGCCAATATTTAACTTTGAGTTGTTGAATTATGCAACTCAAACATCTTTCCTGATCAAACTGTACTCACCTGAACAAAGTGGATTTTTGAGCCAATCATTTGGTAGGTCCTCCAACACACTTTTGCAGCGAGTTTCATCAAGCGCCCCGAGTAACTTCCTGAGCGGACAGAAGCCTCAAAACCCTCCACCAAGTGGGGTTCTTCTCCTGTGGACAGAAAAGCAATAGTAGGCAATGAAGTGAGAGACTTGGCACTCAGGTTACTCTAATACTTGCCTTCTTTCTCCTCTTCTGGAGGAGCCTCTGACATAGTCAGAGCCGAGTCCAATCCCATACTGGCCATGCTGATGGCTCTCTTCACCATTGACTGGTTCTCACTGTTGTCTGCCTGATGCAGTCTACTGATCACCTGTGTGACAGTGTGTTGCACTGTCACAACTGTCCCACCGGCTGCAGTGGACACCACATCTCTAATCTTCTTTACCTTGCTCTTGGCAGCAGCAACCACCTGCGTGATTGAGTCAAATTCATCATCATGATGATCACTCTTTAAGAACAGGGCCAATCATTTAAACAAGTACCTCATCCGGTGGGGACAAAACAACAGGGAATGAAGTCTCCAGCCAGTCAAGGCCCTTGCAGGCAAGATTGTTTGCAATGGAGACTGAAAAGAGACATATGCTATGAAGACAAACCCCAGCACCAAGACATGATTGATACTGCTGCAAATGGCTGAGCAAAAAGGAGCCACGACCCAGTCGTGGTAGGACTCACTCTGGGGCTCCAGCTTAACAATGACCGGCGAGACTCTGGTACAGGCCGCGGCGCTCAGGGCGGTCACGCCGCTCTCCAGCGCCTCGCACAGGGATTTCAGACTGGAGCTGCTGCTTTTAGCATCTCCGTACAGGACCGACAGGGTGGCACAGGCTGAGCGAACCACGGGCAGCTTGACTATCCGGGCAGCGGCGTTCGGTACTACTTTCTGATGAAAATGAAAGAGAAAATCTAAAATCAGAACAGTCACTGACGAACTCTAATGTGGTGTTTCAGAAACGTTTAGACAGGAAAAGGCTAATTAACGCAGGTGTTTATTGTCCCTTAATGCACTCACCTGGTTGTTATTGTTCACCGGCATTTCCTCGCACTTTTCAAACACCAAAAAATGTATTTATCACGTAAACCGAATCGTTCTATGAACACTTTGCCTGCTTGGGGAACTGTTCAAAGAAACAAGAAGCTCATTGTTCAGAAATGCTGCTGACATCAAGGCCCGAACTCAAATAGCGTGCTGGCGTCATCAATTAGTGCTCACCTGTTGCGAGGTATACCCGTGATCTCGCGAGATATTAATCCATCGAAGCTCCTATATAATCTTTGGTCAAATCTCTGATATCCCGAGGATATGAGATGACAAGATGACATTACTGCTAATGGACGAGATTTGAACCTTTGTTGGAACTTTCCCCATTAGATTCAGCTTCAAATAACTTAACACCTTGATTCTGATTCCTGATATCATCATGATTTTAAATGGCTGTGGATTAAAAAAACACGCAACCTCTCTGAGAGCATCCCCTTTCATTAAAGACAGGTGCATCCAGCTCTGCATGGTGACGTACAGGACACGGATGTTTTTTTTGTTTGTTTTTTTTTTCCATTAGAGCAATTAGAGCTGGAATAACAACGCTCCTGCTCCCGCACGCTTTAAGCCACGAGGATCTGTCTGAGGTGCTGATCCTGCTGCTGTTGTTGCTTGGGACTGCAGCAGCCGCATCCCGCTTCGCCCCGCACTCAACGTGCTCGAAAAACATCTGTAGAAAATCTCTTTGCGTCACAGTGAGGGAGGCGCAACTCCGACGCTCCTGTGTGCGTGTCGGGGGCCGTCCCGCGTTCGGGACCGCCGCTCACCCTCCCGCGACGAGCACGTGCGGTGGATGGGTGGGTGGTCTCCGACCCGCCGTCTTCACGTGGCTCCAGCGAGAGGCGCTCGGAGCCAAACCTCCACAGCGTCAGTCCGTTGCGGCAGCAGCAGGAGACAGCGTCCCAAACATGGCTGTGGAGCTGGAGCCCACTGAGTAAGTGCACTCCTGATCCTCAATGCATGAACAATGAGAGAAAATGTGCATTTATATCACGAGAGAATACACAGAAAAGGTTATAATACATGGTTATATTTCGTGCGTTAACTTGTAGTAATATTTAAAGCCAGTTAGAAAAAAAAAGAACGAACCTTTGGTGTTTTCTTGTCGTACTGCATAGTTATGTTTGTGTAAACAACACTGCAGAAACCGTCGTTTGTGCTCACATGTTTGCACAAAGCCATTTGATCCATAAGTCTCGCAGACATTGGGAGAGAAGTGGTTATGAACCACATGTGCCTGTTGATCTAATGATTGCTCCATGTATGTGCATGCATGTAGATTTTTTTCCCCTTTCTGTGTTGCGCTTGGTAATTTGAAAGTAGGATACTGTGCATTGCTTTTATTTTCTTACAGAGGATATATTACATGGACTCACGTTTTTTTATATATATGCGTAATAGATGATGTTACACTATAAAAGTCTTCATATGCCTTGAACATTTTCCCACATTTTGTCATATCAGATGCACACACTTCAGTACATTTCATTGGATTTTATGCCACGGGCCAACACAAAATGCAAAATAAGTGTGAGGATGAAGGGAAGTCATACATTATTTTGAATGAGATTAAAACCTTTTTTAAAATCTTCTTTGTAGACTAGCTTAAGTTCAAAATGACTGGATAGAAAGTCACAGTAAGAGAGGCGCAACCTTATATATAAACCTTAAAATACAAGTCTTGCCCCAAATTATTAATATTAATAAGGTCTGGACTTTGACCGAGCTATTCTAACATCTCAGTATACTTTGCTGTAAACTATTTCCTGTCTCGCTGGTTGAAGGGCTCATTATACAGACCCGATTTGTGTTTCGCATGGACCGAGTTGACATGGAGCAAACGTCACACTTTTTGATTCATACAAAAGAAATGAAAACAATAAACATTTCCTTTGTAATATATAAAAATTGCTGAAAAGGTGAGACAGGTATTTATACCTATACTCTACTGCCTGTTTGGAGAAGAGTCACTTATATCAAATGCATTTCAGATATGATGATAGTCTGTGGTATTGTGTGAATATAAAATATATAATAAAGGAAAAGTTTAAAGTGCTTAAAGTGCTTAGAGATTCGTCTTCTCTGTGTCTGCAGTGTGATCCGTCTGATCATGCAGTACCTCAAGGAGAATAACCTTTACCGCACGCTGATGACCTTACAGGAAGAAACCACAGTTTCTCTCAACACCGTGCAAAGCATCGAGAGCTTTGTAGAGGATATAAACAGAGGCCACTGGGACTCTGTTCTGCTGGCCATTGAGTCTCTCAAGTTGCCTGACAACACACTGATTGACCTCTATGAGCAGGTGAGTTGTAGTTTCCTCAGCAGATAACCTGAAAAGAAGATCAAATAATTGTTTTCCTTACCCTTCATTTTGATACTCAGAATTAAAATCCAAGCTTGCCAGTTGCAGGTTATAATTTATCCTATCTATAGATGCAACTGTTCAGTTTGAGCTCAGCAGTTTTGCTGGTACACATGGCTAGGTGTTCAATAATGGATAAAATTGTGGAGAAGTTCAGAACAGTGTTAAGGGAATGAAACAGCATAACTTCAAACAAATCATGACTGACCACCTAAACTACAAAGCCATGCAGAAAAAGCATAAAAATACAGTCTCTGCATTTGGAAAGAAAGCATATCAAGACAGTTCCCTGAACACTTGAGACTATTATTGTTTTGGAATGTGACTTTACAAAGCATTGACTAAGATGATAAATAATTTTAATTCCAACTTACATTTATGCACTTTGTGTTGATATAAAATATAAAATACAAAAAATATTTGTGATTGTAATGTGACACAACATGAAAACCTTCATTGGGCACGAATTCTTTTTCAAGACACAGTGAAAGCGTCTCCCATTACCAGCGATCTTCTCAACAGGTTGTAATGGAGCTCATTGAAATGAGAGAGGTGGGTGCAGCCCGCTCGCTCCTCAGACAAACTGACCCGATGATCCTGCTGAATCAGACCGAGCCAGAGAGGTACGCCCATCTGGAGAAACTGCTGACGTGTCCTTACTTTGACCCTCGAGAGGTTAGAAAAGAAATATAGTGTTTTAACTTCAAGCAAAAACAATTTGCATGAGGTGTGATGTCCAAGCTGAAACTCCCTTCTCTGTCACTGCAGGCGTACCCAAAGGGCACCAGTAAGGAGAAGCAGCGCAGAGCCATAGCTGAGGCTTTGGCCAGAGAAGTCAGTGTGGTGCCTCCTTCTCGCCTCATTGGACTCCTGGAGCAAGTCAGCGTGAGTTCAGAGATCAATATTCTTCTCAGTACTCACTCTAATTACATGCCAGGGGAATTCGCGTTATTGATGTGCGCTTCCCCTCGCTTTTGTCCTTTTTCATTTTGTCCTGCTGTTATAGAACTTGTGTGTGCCTTTGTGCTTGCTATTAAAGCCCCTTGTCATCTTTTACCTTGGATGTCATCTAGGCTTGAATGTTTAGAGAGATGGCTTTTGGATTCCAGCTGGGGCTACAAAGAAACAAATAATAGAAAGCGGTCACTCTCCAGGTTTATCCACAGGAGGGTTTTTGTATTGGCTGGTAAGGGAACACAGTCTCTCGGAAGCTGTACAGGAAAGGTCTCTTCTTGGAAATGTTTGTGTGAGGAATTGGGTTGTTCTCTGTGTTAATTTAGGTTTCTGTTTTGTTTTCAGTTAATTTAGTCTCCGTGTTGTCCTGTCTAGCCCTTGATTGTTCCCAGCTGTGACTCATTTCCCTGATTACCCTTTGTGTATTTAATCCCACCTCTGTGCCTTGTTGGGTTGTTGTCTGATGCATCTAGTTGTGGTGTCAAGTCTGCCGACTTGTCTGCTGTCTTGTGTGGTCAGGTGATACCAGTTTTGAGTTTTAGCCTTCTGCTCATTCTGTGCTCCCTGGTCTTGATTATTGTTTTCTCATCATTAAATTTATCACTTCATTCTCAACAACCTGGGTCTGCAGTCTCTCCCTCACCACCTTCATAACCGCACATCATGTCAGTTTGCAGAGAAAATGTCTCAAGAATTTTTGTTGGTAGAGAAACCAGCAATGTCCACAAAAACAAGACAAACGATGTACAAATGGTTTCAGAACTTTTTATTGTGGATAGAAGGTTCTTTGTTTTTGGATCAAAGCTTTTAATTTAACTTGTCCAAAGAAGGAGATGTTTTCATACACAAAGCCTACTTCAAAGTACTTTGAAGATACTGCCAAGTCAAATTGAACGATCATTTTTTTCTCGTGTAGTGGTGTGAACTGCAACGGACTGAGCACACAGGCATGAGGCGTTCCACTACCCTAATGTGGTACTACAGCTTTAAGTTTTGTGTTGTGTTCCCTTTTGCAGAATATAAAGCGACAGATAAATCCAGGTTATCTTTCCCCTGAAATAACAATCGACACATCGACAAACAAGGAGCAGCATGCGGAAAAAGAAAGCTTTCCATCTCAGCTGTACCGCCACATAAAGGTAATCGACAAAAATCAGCACATTTCTGTATTGGTCCAAAGGAAACTTCTTGGACAATAAATATATTAAGTTGTGCTTTCTGGTCAATTTGTGGTGAATGTGAGCTTGTTTTATAAGTGAATTCATCCAATAGCCGTTCTGACACAAAACTGATAGACTTATTCACCTCAGGACAACTCTTCCAGTCAGTTTGTGTTCTCAGTGCTCGCTCCTAAGAGCTGCAGGCACAGCTCATTGTTGCTTGCCAGTGACAAAAATGATAAGAATGGTCAGCCCACGCTGCTGCAGAGCACTGGAAAAATGCATTTCTCCCTGAGGATGACTGATATTAAATTTTGTTTTTGTTCTGTGTTTATATATGCTGCAAATGGTGTTGCAGAAGAGGCATCTTATGTAATTTTTCTGTGTTTTAAATATGCAGTTTGGACGACGTTCACATGTGGAATGCGCCCGGTTCTCTCCTAATGGCAAATATTTAGTCACCGGATCAGTGGATGGGTATATTGTGTTCTGGAACTTCAACAGTGGAAAAATTTGTAAGGTAAATGTTGTTCACATTTTTAGACATATTTCCTTTTAACTTTGTGACATGAATGGTAATAAAGTTGTTTTGTATTTGTTTGACTAATGTTTATGTATTACCCAACTTCTTACAAAAAAAAATCAAGATTATAATTTCAAAATCATTCTTGTGATTAGTGGCATGCTTTAGGTTTGTGTTTTTAATGCTCTTTTGTTATTTATGGTCTGTGTGCTGTGCATTTGTGTGTAAATGGCATCCTGCAGGATCTCAAGTATCAGGCCCAAGAAAGCTTCATGACGATGGACGATGCTGTGCTGTGTATGTGCTTCAGTCAAGATGTAGATCTACTCGCCACCGGAGCGCAGAATGGCAAAATTAAGGTCAGTTTGATCAAACAGTGTAACAATCCAACGGATGTCTTCTTGTTTGAGTCTCAGCTTTGGTATGTTTATTTGAATAGAAAATATGCATGTTTCTAAAACATTGAAATATGTCATTGTGTGTCGATGAGAAAGGTGTGGAAGATCCAAAGTGGCCTGTGTGTGCGAAGGTTCGAGCACGCTCACAGCAAAGGTGTGACTTGTCTGAGCTTTTCAAAGGACGGCGACCACATCCTCAGTGCCTCACTTGACCAAACCATAAGGTGGGATATCACAGCATCCACAGTGAGCTCAAAGCCATACCACATATCTATATTGACTTGACAAGTTAAGTAGTGCAATTAAAATTATTGGATGATTCATATTGGATGAATATGTGGAAAACATTACATGCCATTGCTAAGTAAGGTGGAGTATCCATGGTGCTGTGGGTCATTTGTCTTTAAAAAACCCTGGGGACATTTTTAGAGTAAATGTTATACTCTGACATAAATTGTTGAAATACAAAATGAAAACATGTGGTGAATATTGATCTAAACCGTACAGCAAAATCATCACATAAAGGTTTCAAAGGCCCCAAACCAATCTTCTGTCACAGTCATCTCTGTATTACATCCTATACAACACCTGCCAGTTGGTGAATTTATAAAAGGATTAAGAAGAAATCAGGACTCAATGATTTAGTAAGATGATCCATATCCATCTCTCCCAGTAAACTCCAAGCTTGAGAGAAGAATAAGAGCTACTCCACTGGTTAAAAAAAAAGGTTTTGTCAAGTAATAACCGAAAGGACAATAGTAATTGTTTCACAAATAATTTTGTAAAAAAATATTTAAGGATAATTTACCTCCTGATTAGCTATAGCACATTGAGCATTAGATTTAAAAAAAAAATATTTTAACCACTGCATTAAAGTTTCATTTAGTTTGAGATGTTTTAAACATATTTACTAGTTATTTTCTTAATTTTTGTGTTGTGTTTGTATATGCATATTGCAGGCTTGTGTGTTATATATATAACTGTATAACCAACATGAGGTGGGAGCTATGTTGAGTTTCTGGAGTCTTGTGCAGAAGCAGGTTTGTCTGCAGTGGGAGGAAATGGAGAGATCTCACTGACCTGAAAGATGATTCATAAAGGTTTGGAAGATGCACATATAGGCATCAGCTCATGAAGGATGGCAGGAAGATGGTGCTTTTTCTATTTATTTTTTTTAATCAGTGTTTACTTTTACAGCCCACGGTAAATTCATAAGAAACAAAAGAGTGGGTGGGCAACAAGTTGGGGAAAAAATATTGAAGATGTTGGTGATCTTCAGTTGTGGTACTGTCTTTTAATGTATGAATCTTTTCTGAAGTAACAGGCCACATGCATATTAATAACATGAATGTACATGTTCCTGCATTTCAAACTTCTGCAAATTTGAATCCAAACTAATGTAACTATACACTTTACACAGAAACAACGTTCAAAGTACAGAATTAGCATCTTTATTCACCTATTTTAATCCACTTGCACAAGCAAATTTGCAAAGTATTCCAAAGTATTCTGCTTGTTCCAGACTTCCCCCTGCATGCAAACACTGACTCTCCTTTCATTTTGACGGGTTGAATATTTTTTCTGACTCCTGGGGGGTGTGGGCTGTGCCTCGAGTTGGAGGCACACGTGCTGTGTGGGTGCAGCTGAGGTGCCATGCGCTCAGGCACAAAGCAGCAACGTGTTTCTCCACCTCACGGATCCTCAAGTCGAGAAAATTCCTCACGAGGAGCGAGTCTTCCCTTCCAGGAGACAAAGTGAATCAGTGAGCGTGAGGTGTTTTGTCATGGTTTAGCTCATCTGCACCCATTCACTCAGCAGGAGCTAAAAATAACTCAGTGGCTACACGTTTTGCCTGCTTTCAAGAATAATCTGCTCCTTCAGTTAAGCAGAGTTTTTTTTTTATTAAAGTAGTCATCTTTTTCCATTCGGTTGTCAACATCATTTTCAGAATCCATGAGCTGAGGTCGGGCAAGACGCTGAAGGAGTTAAAAGGACATTCATCGTTTGTAAACGATGCGTGTTTCGCTCAGGATGGTTTTCACATCATCACCGCCTCAGCCGATGGCACTGTTAAGGTATGATTTACATAAAGGGTCTGGGTCCACACTCAGTTATGCCATATCAGATGTAATTTATGGTTCCTGTCAAAAGCTATACAATCATCTTGGGCATAGGTACAATATTTTTGGAGCTTTTAAGGATGATTTGGTACAGAAAGGAATTATTTTACATCACACAACTTCAGGAACTTTTAAACACAATAGTTAGATGCAAAAGTTTGAATTTATTGTAGATATTTATGAATAATAGATATACTTAAACAGCCTGATTAATATTTGGTGTGGACCGTTTGCACATTTTTCATACACTTATTTAGATTCCTGGTCAAATTCTGCTTGGCAGAGTTGGCATAGTTCACAAATTTCCTCAGGTCATTCTGAATAAGTTTTCTGGACAGATTAGGAAAAAATGGATGTATTTTAACCACAATGCTAAATAGTTTAAGCTGAATAAACCTAAGAAAACTGTGCCAACCATGAGGCATGAAGGTGTTTGAAGGTGATGGGGTTTGTTTCCCTGCCAGCCCTGCAGTGGTGGAGTAACAAAGAACTTCTTCCAAATTCTTCAGCTTCCCATCAAAAGTAGAAACTTTTAATTAACTGTGTGTTCCAATTGGGCAACGATGTCAGACACTTGATTGGAATAAAATGGTTTTGGAATGGGTGAAACTGGCTAATTAAGCTATTGAAATGACTCCAATCTCAACTCCACAGAATAGCTGTAAGAAAACCAACTAACTTGACTTAAATGTACCATTCTTGAAAAGAAAAGTGGTTAAATATTCTGGCAGGATTATGACCAAACTTTGTTGATGGATACAGAAAGTGTGCGGCTTCTCTGCAACTTGCTAAGGGACATTGTGTGTGTGTGTGTGTGTGTGTGTGTGTGTGTGTGTGTGTGTGTGGGTGTGTGTGTGTGTGTGTGTTGTGTTTGTATGTATATATATATGAGCCTGTATGCACAATTATGACCCTGTTTGGATTAGAGAAAACCCAAAAAGTAATTCACACTTGCACCCAGTTCTTATTTTCAAAATGTCACTCAACTGCGTTTGGTTCAAATGTGTTTATGACAAAAATGAGTTCCTGTAAAACCTCTGACTAGATCTGTTAAAATGGAAAATATTTCTTCCCAGATTTGGAACACAAAATCCTCCGAATGCATTCACACGTTCAAATCCCAGTCAATGACGTCAGACGTCCCAGTCAACAATGTGATTCCTCTTCCCCAAAAGCCTGAGGAGTTCGTGGTGTGTAACCACTCCAGCACAGTGGTCATCATGAACATGCACGGCCAGGTGAGAGCATCATTTGGCTTTGTCGATTTTTTAAAAAATCATCAATGATGAAAACATCTGTCTTCAGGCTGCTGGAATTTTTTGAACATACAATATATCTACAATTTACAATGAAGGCATTGTAGTAATGCAAGATTTCTTTAATCCATTTTTACAGATAATGTTAAATAATCCATGGAAAATAATCAAATCCATTAGCTTTACAACAAGCAAACTTCAAGAACTTTTTAGTGAAAAAAAAAAGTTTCACTAAACTTCACTAAACCATACAGAAAAGTATGGCTCTATTCTGCATTTCTAGGAAAAAAAGTGTTTATTCCCTAAAGTGACAGATGAGTTAACATTTAAAACAATTCAAAATATTTTACTCATCTAATCATGTAACAGTGTGGCTGTTATGACAAAGTTAATTTTCTTTCTTTTTCCTCCTCAGACAGTGAAGACTTTCTGTTCAGAGCAGCCAGAGAGAGCAGGCTTTGTGTGCTGCACCGTGTCACCCCGCGGGGAATGGATCTACGGTGTGGGGGAGGACAGTGTGCTGTACTGTTTTAACTACACAACAGGGAGGCTGGAGAAAACGCTGACTGTAAGCCCCTCTCCTCATACCCAACAATTATCTTTGAGAAAAACCGTTAGTGAGCCTCCACTCCCTGTTTTGCTGTCTCATTGTTGTGCTAACATTTTTCAGCAAGGGCAGTCAGGGAAGCTGGACGTCTGTAGGGGGGGAATGAGAATGTGTATTGATCTGCATTCCTCTGCATCCACAGGTTCACGACAAGGATGTAATTGGCATCGCTCACCACCCACAAGAGAACCTGATTGCCACATACAGCAAGGATGGCCTGTTAAGACTGTGGAAACCTTAAGCTGTCGCCTGCGTTCTGCTGTGGAGGAGCCAGGCAGTTGTTTGCAAAGTTCAAAAGCATTCAGATCAACTCAAAGGGGTATCAGAAATTTTGATGAAAATTTCTTTAAAAATCCTACACCTTCTTCCCAGTGTATTATGTTTACTGAATGCTCACTTCGCATTTAAAATCAGAAGATAGAAAATAGAATTAGAAAAGCAATGCTTGAGTACAAAGAGAAGATCTCACGGTAACATAAGCTATAGGTGTGTCTGGTGCACATTTAGTTAAAACATAGTCTTTCGTCATTTAGCGAAGTTACTCATAGCGGGTAGTGTATTTAGACATGCTACTCAAGTGTAGTGATGCTTCATGATAATATTACTCAAGTAAAAGTAAAAAGGATAGAGTAGTAAAAATTTTCCAGTAACAGTTTTTTCCCCCAAAAAAAGTTACTCAGGTAATCGTAACTGGGAAGATGTAAGTCGCTACTATCCATCTCTGCTTTGAAGAAACCTCACTTAAAAAATCCTGTACCATCCTACTAAGAGTAATATGGTGTTTGTTTAAACTTTTTTATATTGATACAAGTCTTATGAAAGTGAATTTTACATTTTCAAAGCAAGAAGTTCAGGATACAGAATTTAAGAATCAACCATGTATTTCTTATTTGCCTTAATATTTAAGGTTAAGCTAGGTCTTTAACTGTTTTTAGTTATTAATATTTTTTAAAAATAAATAAACATACCATTTGACAGCTGTGTGAACTTTGTCAACTCTGCCTAGGACCTCCATAATACTGTTTGTGAGTCCAACTTCACTAGTGCCACTTGAATCCAACACTCTCATCTCTTCTGTCTCTAACAGACATGAAAATGCATGTTGGTGAACTGTTATGAGATTATTTACAATAGAAACTGCCTAACGTTTGGGCATAAATAATGTCAGGTACTTGATGCTTTCCTGGCTTTGGTTTGTAAAAATGCTTCCCTTTCCACCCTAATTTGCTCTGCATGCTACTTCAGTTCACCGCCTTGCAGTGGGTCTAGAGCGATTCACAGATATGCATGCTTAAAAACGGCAGAACTTCGGCAGAAGTTCCAGTCTGCATCCTGTTTGTAATTGCGGCTTTGTTTTGTTGTACTTTCCTGTGCATACATACATGTTCATGCCCGCAGGTAACGGACTGTCCACTATTTATTATGTGCGATATTATTTGTTACTGTAGTGTGAAGTCATTACACTCTATTTTTTGTATATTTGCTATATTGTGGATATCATGTAGTCTGCCACTGGAAGAAAAAATAAATTCACATTCAAAATTGCTGCATTTAAGGTCCATTCATAAACTCAAATTAGTGTCAAGTTTGTTCTGTAATTAGAGTTCAGTTTCTTTTCTCGACAGAGTGGGCAGAATTTGGAAAAGAGCACAAATCCACATATGGGATCAAATAATTGATTGAGTTTGGGTGACAAAAACATGTAGCTGGTAATATGGGGTGCTAAAATTCAGTTAATTAAAATAACTGGTGATATAATCACATTATTTACTTCACCGCATGTTACAATTTACAAAATGGTTGCACAAACACAACAGTGAATCCCACTGGCTATGGTTTAAATAGTTTTAGTTGACAGGCTATTATTGATACTAACAGCTTGCCATACAACTCAATCAGAGTTGAGTCAGAATACATATTGAGCGAGCGGGAGATTTAACACAGCCTTTAAAAGGACACTTTTCGATCCAAACAGTGGGAAAAGTAAGGGTATAAAAACACCCACATCCACCAAGTAACCGCTGCTCTCAGAGCTGCCAGAGGAACAAGCAAACAAAGCCACTTCTTTAGACATCCATGTCAGCAGGGGGAGCCAACACGCACTTGCAGCCTCCCACAGAATATACTTTTTATTGAATTACCTTGGATTTAAATCAAAATTGGCAACAGTTAAACTCTTGTTTGCCAAAAACCTTTGTGTATTTTTAGTAACATTTGTTAGGTGGGCTGGCACTTTATACAAAAAGTGGGCTGCTAAAGTTTCTTCAAATCCATAAAAGTTCCCCGTCATTCATTTTCTAGTTTGTCCTTTTAATAAGATGGCTGTAAGGAGTGTAGACTAACAGTGCACTTCCCTTCCCCCACCTGTTGCTAGCTTGATGAAAGGAGCCCATCACACTTTTCAACAAAGAAAGATTTCTTTGTGGTGAAAGTTTGTTATGAAAACCAGAGGAGCAGAATCCATCACTCTTGTTCAAGATAACTCGTGATGATGAATGTATTTTTATATCTTAACTAAAATTAATTTGATGTTATTCATTTTAATGTTTGTGTTGATATCACTATTCTTTGAAATTCAAACTGAAAGTTGTACATTGAAAAATTCACACCAGCTTGTGACTGTTGTGAACTTTTGCCCAGCACTACAGCATAACTCAAGTTTCCCAGATATCATCGCAGATCAGTTTAGTAAGACCCCAAAATGATATTTATTAACAAAACATGATCACAAACATTCTTGGTCCGAACATCGATTAAGTTAAATTAAAACTTGAGTTAACTTATCTCAGTTTCTCAGACTTACAGAAACAAACCTGCTGTCAGAAGCAGATCCCTTGAAGGTGCCCGAACATAATGGTCAAAAAATATTCAGGGAAAAGATCATCGCTTAAACTAACACTGCATAATCAAGTTACTTCAAGTTGAGTGATGATAAGGCGTTGAAACAGATACACATTTCAAACTCCCCCATCTTAAATCCCTCCCTAACCTCCCAAGATCTCATCAGGTTGCACAAGACACAATTATCAACGTCGATACCAACATCAAAACATCAAAATATGCAACGTTCTACTTTGACTTTTCATCTTCATTCCACATGGGAATGCAATATTTTCTTCTGATTTCAAGACCATGCATTTACAGAGGATTCTGGCACTGGTTAATCTTTCTTTGACAATGTAGGTACAACAGGCACTTTATACCCATGGGTTTTTTTTTTTTTTTTTTGCAACTGTTGTAACAAATATTACCAGCATAAACATACATTTACATTGCCAGTTTGTCTTCAAATTGTCAAGAAAGCAATTGCGGTCAAGGAACTGGATGGTTTTAAACATCTGCAAATTGTTTTCTTTTGTAAAATAATTTCACATAGAAAACAGTCTGATGTCCAACCCAAGACTGTAATTGAGCCCAGAAGAGGTAAAATACTAAAGTTAAATATTAGTTTGAAATATCTACAATTTAGTGGCTTGAACCTAAAACAGTACTGCCCCTTTTCTACAAACTCACATCTTCCAGTCATATTTTTAAGATTGTTTAGAAATGTTTTGAAATAGCCCTTTAAAGGGTAAACCAGCAAAAAAAGAAAAAAAAAGTATCAAGTATCGACATAAATTAGCCTTGTCCTCCATCTGAACTTTTGTCCTCAAAAACAATAAGTCATTAACGAGCTGTTCACAACCACAGATTAAGCAACACCACACTTAAAAAAAACATTTTAAAAGGAATGTTGGCATCGGTTTTAGTGTAAATGCAAGTTTTTCTTTTCTTTTAAAGACACTGTGATCCCAGCCCTCATGTTTAACCACAGTGCTTCAGAGAGAAAAACAAAACAAAAAAAGAATTGAAATGTGGTCCCATAAGGAATGAGCAGTCCAGCATCGAGCCCAAAACCAATTAGTTGGGGAAAAACAAAACAAAACAAAAAAAAACGTGAGCCAGGACCTTAAGACTGAGCTCGTGGGGAATTTCAAACTAAGACAGAGTTACCGGACGAGAAGGTGCACAAACTTCCAACAAGGTGCATTGCATCAGAGATGGGGGATTTTGGAAAAGGCAAAGTCTCAAGCTGGGGTTTAAGATGTGTGGCACTGAACGCCTCCGGTGCTGGCGTAGTCGTCCTCGTCCATGTAGTAGTACTGATGTCTGTGTCTTCTTCTGCTCTCTAAGTCACAGTCCTCCAGGTCAGCATAGATGTAGAGGTCCTCGTCCATGCTGTCCGTCTGCTCTGTGTCCATCTTTCCGGGGAGGTAGCGCTCGAGCTCCTTCAGCTTGTGCTTGGGGAGGAAATTGGCTGGTGGGAACACCACCTAGTGACATAAGCAGAGTTCTGACTCAGGGAGGCTGTATACATACACTTTTTATAATTGTTGTTTTGAGAACCTTTAGAACACAAAAAATAAAACATTTTTCCCTTCTATGTCGCAATCAGGCTCTACTTTGCTCCCGTCTGTCACATAAAATCCTGTGGGCCTCGAACAGGAATTGCTGTAGATGTTTCCTCAGATGTGTCATTTTCACGTTCATAAAATTCTAATTTATTCTTGCCCAGAGTAATTCAAAACAGGGATATTATTAACTTATGCAAGATCTTGAGTCTGTGCTCAAGATCTTAGTAGTGATTTACTTCACAAGTTGAGACACTCATACCTTATCAGCAATGGTAATGCTAACTAAAGCTAGCACAAAAAAAAAAAAAAACAAATGGAACATTTCTATGCGAGTGAAAATGATGAAGGTCGTTTTAATTTACTAGATATTAAGCCCTTTTTTACTGCTTGATGCTCTAGAGGAGCAGTGTCAGTCTGCTTTTATAAAGGTGAAGATAAAATCCTACAAGTCTTACCGAAAAGTGAATAATAAGACGTCCTTTTTCAAAAGGTCTGCGATACATAGGCATCCCCTTGTTGAGGACACACTTGGTATCTCCAGGCTTGACTAGTTTCCCTGTAGTTGGAAACAGAAGGAGATTGGCTATAGCAAACCTGACAGGATATTCCATCAAGAGTCTTTATTAAACTACAGAAGATTAGGTGATTCACAGCTGTATCCATGTAAATCCAGTCCAGTTTTGAATACTTTAAAAACTCCCAAAGGTTGATCAACTTAAACCTTTTAGAAACAGCTAAATAAATTGAATTTTCGATCATATAAAATCAGAGAAATCCAGGTTGCTGTGTGTTTGATGGGTTCATTTACCTGGATGAGACGTGACGAGGAGAGTCCTGCTGTCCAGTGTTTGAACCGGCCTCTTAAAACCACACAAAGCCTCAACCAGCTGCAACTCCATCGACATGAGCAGGTCTTCTCCTCTCCTGACGACAGAAACAAGTTCAGCGAATAAGTTTACTTCATTTTGACATTTCTGGGCAGACAACACATTAAAAGGCAAAATAACATGTTACTATTCCTGTCTCACTCATGTGGTTTTCAAATTTTGTATACACGTTGTTGTAATGCCTCATAATGTAAACCTTGCTAACTAACCTACAATGTCCAGAAAAACGCATCTTTTCCCATTTTGTTTTGTACCTGGTGAAAAGTGCATGTTCCTGTTGGTCGAGGACGATTATGATGTCGCCTGGCTCCAGCCCCGGCTCCTGGTCCCCTTCACCATGAAAAACTATTTTCTGCCCATCTTTCATTCCTTTGAAAAACATCAGCTCATGAGTTCAACCGTTGGTCTCAGCAACTTTATAGCACTTTTTGGTTTTTAAATGGACTCATTGAGTCACACCTTTGTCAATGTGAACCTCCAGAATCTTTTTCTGTCGCATGATTTTGCGTCCTGTGCATGTTTTGCAGCGGTCCTTCTGGCTGATTCTCTGTCCTTGTCCCTGACAGTTGTGGCACACGGTGGAAACCTGCTGCACCATACCTGGGAGTAACTGATGCATGCGTACCTGCACACCCGTACCATGGCAGGACATGCACATTTGTGCAGCTCCTTTACGACTTCCACGACCTGCCGTGGAGGAAAAGGAAGAAAAAAAATAAATCCTTCAGCACTGTGAAAAAATATAAAATATAAGCACATACTTGGCATGGGACGGAGTGGGATTTAAATAATCAAGTATTTAATTTTGAGGAAATTCATGTGATGTACCAACATATATTAGCACATAAGTGTGAAGGAGAATTGAAACATTTTTAACATTCTTTTACAAGCAGCTCAGGAATGAAAAAACAAACAAGAAAACATTTTGTCACCAGCTTAAAAAGTTGTTGCCATACTAATTGAATTCAACAACATTTTGAACCTGTTCCAACAAAGAACATTTCAAATAATTACTTGGGTGGATATGTTGCGCAGCTAAGTAAGCCAGTGAGTCTCTGGTACAATCCACCTGTCAAACAGTTAACTTCCATCATGCCAGAAGCACACAGGCCGTCGAGGAGCTGGAGGAGGCCTCAACCTTTTCCTCAGCTAACGACTCCTTTGTGTGTTTAATGATTCGGCTGCTGAAAATATCCTTGCTTTTTGATGTTTTCACAGATTCTCTGCCAAAGGTAAACCTTAGAGACATGGTGGAAACTAAAGGTCAATCTGCATCAGAGTGGTGACGACTGCAGATGAAATATGGCTACACACAGACACACAACATTTCATGATCTTGCGAGTGAAAGCAGAGAATCTGAAAAGGGCAGTTTGTGAAGGCGACTGTGTGAATGCTGATCCGCCGCAGCGTCAGAAAAAAGGCTTTCAGCACCACATCTATCTTTTATGTAGATGTGGACTGGAGCTACTAAGGATTTTCTTTTTGTTATTAAACATCAATACCTAAATGTTATTTGCTCCACTGGGTCAGTTATGTTCATGACATCCACTAAGAATTAGGGAATCATTTCTGTTGACAAAACAATGTTTGTCTTATGAGATCGGGAAAAATGTTTAAGCATTAATATTTTTGAATTCCCGAAGCCAGTGTTTGGACAAATAATTTAGCCTCCAAAGCTTTCATATCAGAACGTTCCACTCACCAGGATTGCCCGTTATCTCCAATGTTATTTGTCTTAGCTATAGAACCCTGGGCAATGATGATAAGAACGCAAACTGATCTATTTGGCATTCAGTTGGGAGACCAAGAGCATAGATTGGCATTGTATGCTGATGATCTGATAGTTTTTTTGACAAGTTTATCCATTAGCATCCCAAATTTAATGCAACAAATAGAGTTGTTTGGTCAGTTTTCTGGCTACAAAATAAATGATTCAAAGTCCTCTATTCTGTTTTTGAACAGGGATGAAAGACCTCTTTTGCATTTTATCAATGCAAAAGAGGGATTTGTGTACCTTAGTGTTAAAATCACCTCAGACATTAAAACAATTGTATCAATTCCTAACTTCTTTAATCTCCATGAATTTGTACTTCTAACATTATAGAAAAAAGATGTTTTATCTTGGCTGAGAGATTTGGAGCCTTACTGTGAAAATGTTAAGTTTGTGCCACATGTGGAATAGGGGATTTGTTTTTTCAATAATAATGACTGCTTTAGTTTTGAGACTAAAATATCGTCATTCTATGTATAAAACAAACTACTTTGCGTGTAATAAGAATATTTTTGCAAACCTCGGGACTCAAAACTGCAGAACTGTTTACCTTCACATCTCTCACAGATGCAGTTCTTCTGTACAGAAAGTTTTCTTGTTGCTCCGTTGTAAAGCTCCTCCAAGGTCACAGTGATTTGATGAACTATATTCTTTCCTGTGGTGAAATAAAACACATCGCTGTAATACATTTCACAGGATTTGGGTACAAGGTTCACAACCATAATACATCTTAATATTTACATAGAAAGGCTTACTTTTGGGCAATAACTTGGAAAATATTTTAGACAATGTAGGTACGTCATCTAAAGATATGTCACCAACCTTTGATTACTATCTGTTATTTATTAGATGCAAAATCCACTTTGTTCTTCAATTTTCTAGGGTCAGTTCACTAGACTGATCGCTTGTAAAAAAAAAACAAAAAAACATCACAATTCTTACATGATTCTGGTGAGCGAGTCTTCCCAAAATATTTTATAGTGATAGTGTTGTATACTATTAGATATGTATCTTTGTTATTCTAAACTTTCCAGACTCAAATTTACAGCATTCTCGATCAATTTTCAGCCCATTTTAATTGTATAAATGCGGTTTGGTTTTATGCATATAAAATGCAACCACCACTTACTTATCCACTTATTCAGTGCCCAAGTAAATGGAAGGAAAAAAAAGAGTAAGAAACAACCTTTCCCCATGTTTTTCCAAATTTATCTGCCAAGATTCATCCAACATCATGTTTTTCTACCAAACAGCTATGAGTGAATGAATCAACATACGCTTCCAAGTATAGTGAAAACTGATGACTTGCATAGCACCATCTTATTTTCATGACAACATCTCTTGAGAGGGGCAACACCAGATGGAACACTTCAGAAAACATAGCTCCTGTTTCTCAACACGAAAAAGCAGCACAGTCAAACGTCTGACAGGTTCATCACTCGTCTTTCTTAATGCTTAGAAGGAAGAAAATAATACAGGAATATGAGAATTACTTATAGAAGCTAAAAATAAATCCTACAAGAAACTTTTTGAAAGCAATAGTGGCACTAACCTTCCTGTTCTGTCCTCTAGTGGCGATTGTTATGAACTGCATTACATAAGAATCTTATTGTTTGCCCATATCTGCATACTTCCACCAATCACCTTAATCTGGCAGATATACTGACTTTTTTATTTATTTGTACTGTTCATTATTTTATATTTTTTTACATTTTATACAATTATAATACAATATTTTCTTTTCTCTTACTAGAAATTCTATGCAGGATTCACTTCATGTTTTCAGGAGCCACTGTGAGTTTTTCCAAATATCTGCTCTCACCTTTTCGTTCTCTGTGCATTCGACTACCTCCACCAAAAAATAGGTCAAAGATATCCATGGGCGATGTGAAACCACCGCCACCACTGCCGCTGCCTGTTCCTCCTTCTTTTATAGCCTTTTCACCTCCGCGGTCATACACCTCTCTCTTCTTGGCATCTGACAGAACCTCGTATGCCTGTGAGATCTGTTTAAACTTTGGGGAAAATACATAAATAAAAAATTAAGATTAAAAAAACTGCCACAGCTGCTGTGGCTTTTGATAGCATCAATTAAGGGGACAAACCTTTTCCCCTTCAGTCGGGTTTTTGTCAGGGTGATACTTCAAGGCTAACTTGCGATAGGCTTTTTTAAGTTCATTGGGAGTTGCATTGGGTTTCACGCCAAGTGTGTCATAAAAGCCTGTTTCTTTCACCATCGTTGCCTCTTTCAGATGACCTTAAGAAGCAGAAAGAGAGAGAGAAAAAAACATAAGTGTCTGAATCATATCTTGAAATACCCAATGAGATTAACTTTGCCCCCAAAAATATTTTGTCTGTCAGTGCATAGCAACATCAGAGTAAAATTTCAAAAGAAAGTTTCTGTAAAAATTTTATTCTCGTAGACTAAATTGAGTGTTTCTCTTCAGAACCTGACAAGTTCAGTTCTTCCAGCTCAGACAAAATACCCACATGCATCAGGCAATCCAGTACAAAGAGCACCTTGTCCAGTTCCAAGTGTTTCAAATGCTAGTACACTCCAAAGGGAGTGAAACAATGTGGGGCTGCTTGCACAACTTGCTATGGACATTTGAACCCTTGTCGAAAACTTCAACTGTCATGTGAAATAACCATGTTTAAGCCTTAAAACACGTGCTTTCCCCCCTTTTATTCCAGTAGCTAAATGTCTTGAGAGCCTTTACACTGACACAAAACTGTTACCCCCCAACAATCTCCTTAGCTTTTTTTTCAGGGAAGCATTGTTTTATTTACATTTTTAAGTTGATGGCATGAACCACCATATTATATGAACTAATAATTGATAAGTATTGGTTATTTCAAAGCCATACCTAAATGACAACATACAGTAGAAAAGCAACTTGTATTACATGGCAGAATTTTCTCTGCCACTTTATTAAATGAGAGAGAGAAAAAATAAATTATACTTTATGGTAAGGAATGTGAAAGCTTGGGCTAAATGAAAGGACAGTTATTCTGCATTGATTTAAGTTTGTAGAAAAATCATATAGCAGTACATAAGAAAGTTAGAAATGAAGCAATTTTTTGGTAATGTTTTCAGAAATTTTTTTTCTTAAAATGATGTAACTTAACGTTCGCATACTTGAAATCCTTCTTAGATTTTTTTATTACTAATATTATTATTATTATTTTTTTTGGCAACACAATGCAAATAATTTCCACAACAAATTGATTTCCTTTTTGTATTCTGGCAAGCGGTTGTTCATGACAAAATTCATTTATGGATGATTTTGTAGTTATTTGGTCGATATATTCATAAATCAACAAACGTTACATGTTTCGCGTTAAGCGATTTCTAAAATGTGCCACACTGATCTCTTAGTCGTTAGGTTGAATCTGGGTGCCAATTAAGGCTTAAGTTTCGATTCATAATAACAACATTGGTGAAACTAGTTCTGAGTATTTCCTAGATATAATATAGCTGGGCTCTTTTTTTTTTTAGAAAAAAGATTCCTGGGCAATTACAAGTGTTTTTTTCTACGATTGTATATGATATGTGCCTGAGTATCAATCTTACACACAATCGCAGGTTAAACCGCTGGTTGGAACAGCATATAAACTGAAACTGATGAGGCCCTTCGTAGCTAATTCAGCTACTTGACCAGGTCACATCTAAACTGCTAGCTAGGATGCCCCTCTGGCCTTTGGCCAAGCTAAGCACAGCTGTCAGTTACAGAAATAAAACGTGTGATAATAACTGTTTCCCAACCTTAAATGAAGACAACAAGCAGCAACCTCACAGAAAGCCTTTCTTCCAGAATCTTCTGACCCGCGTGCCAAGCGAAAACACACCAGCCCCGTTCACGTTATAGTCTCGCGAGACGTTAGCCCAGTCATCACCAAGCGGTGACTGCAATATTATATTTCTTGCTAATAGTATAAAAGACTTTAAAAAAGATGATACAATGCCTATTTGCTGGCTTGTCAGTGAAGAGGGTACCCATAAACCAATCCAGTTACCTCATTTACGTGCGGTTGTTGTTGGGCGAGGCCCAGAAACGACAATTAAAGACAAGAAATGCTCCCGGCAGCAAGGTACCCAATATCAGTTCGTATGCTAACATTAGTGTGCTAATCTAATCTAACACATACTGCTTTTTTACATTACTTTTAGAATGCTACTTACTCGATGAAATGATAAAAATTTTGGTTTTGCTATATTTGGTATCATAAAAAGTGTGCAAAACCAGTAACAATCACTGCCAGGTTCTTGGTTCAGTAACAGGCACAGTAGGGATTAGTGAGGTGGTAAATCTTTTTAAGAATTTTTTATCTTCTTTATTTATGTTTATTGACTCTCATGTATTTCACCTGTTAAGGTGGAAATACTTGTCTTTTTAGGGAGTAGTGTGACTGTTTTAGGGATTGTGTTTCTGTATTTATATTTTGGTTCTATAAGGGGTCATAATTTCTAAGAACTTTAAACAACATTTTGCTGGAGTTGGAGTCACATCACCATATTTCATTAAAGTGGACTGGAATTGGATTAGACATAATCTCCCAACAAATATCCACTGTCAAGATGGGTTTTAAATGTTCTGTAGAAAATGGCTCCTTTGTATATCTTATAAAAAGTACAGCTAACATGTACAGCACCAGCACCTACATTATGCTTTGTGAAGGTATAGTGATAATGTTTTAGCGACACATTCTGTAATTGAGCTTTACCTAAATGACAGCTACCCCTTTCTTCCCAGTTGAACTGAAAGCTGAGTGCAACAAAGGTTATGTCAAAGTCAAACAGGTAAGACTGCAAAATTTTGATTCATCACTTTTGCTGAAACATTTTTTGGATTAAAATTCCTTTACTGCTAATGAACTAATTCTTTGTTGTTGTTGTTTTTTTGTGTTTTTTTTTTAAAGCTGGGCTTAAATCCCACCTCAGTAGACTGTGTGGTAGTGGGGAAAGGCAATGAGGTCAGAATAAAACCTGGACAGAAGCTCCATGTTGTCAATCAGCTTTACCCGTACACCATACAGTTCAAAGAAGATCTCACTGGGCACCACAGCAGCATCAAAAGTCCAAGAGAGCAAACATCGGAGAACAGTGATGGCCAGAAAAATGTCCAGACTGAAAAAGCTCCAAAACGGAACACAAATGGGTCTTCGTCAGTATGTCATTCAGAAAACACAAAAACAAATGTGAGGAAAAATATGTCCTTGTGCTTAAGATGTTGCTTTTTTAATTTTGATTGTGTTGCAATCTGCTGAACATCTAACAAGATTGCATTTTAAAAATGTTGATTCCTCATTTGTTGTAGGAACATGTCGGACATTGGAGCCACGGTCTGAAGACTTCAATGCAAGATCCTCAGATGCAGGTCGGTACCTTACAAAAATGATGTAAAAACTCTGTCATGCTTTCCCACAGCCTAATTTGTATTCTGAAGTAAAACTTTTTCTGCTTTTCAGGTTTACAAGGATGATAAGGTTGTTGTGATTACAGACAAATACCCCAAAGCTCGCTACCACTGGTTAGTCCTTCCATGGCAGTCGATTCCCAGCCTGAAGGCTTTACGTGGAGAGCACTGTGATCTTCTGAAACACATGCAGCAGGTTGCTGACCGCATGATCCAGCAATGCCCAGATTCCAGCACACTGCGGTTCCGGTCAGGTTACCACGCTATCCCAAGTATGAGGTAAGCAAAGGCTGTTTGATTGACTACTGTTGTTATTTGGCAATGTGACTGCTGTTAGTAAAAACCTGAAATGTTAAAGACTGTTTTTTCAGTCTTTAGCTGTTTACTTACATGATATTGGCTTGATATTTTCAGATAAACTTGTAACATCTGCTGGAATACAACATGTCTCTCTGCCTTTATAAACGGTGTTCTGAATCAGCCACAAATGTCTTCACAGTACAATAACGCTTCAGTTTTTGTTAAATATCTAATGTTTTCATACCTTGTCATACGGCACTACACTATCTGATGAGTTTCGTCAGCAGAGAGATCCTTTCTCTTTCCCAAATTGCTTGAAACCAGTGGTCTGCTTAATAATGTGGAACATCCTTCTTAAGTAGATTTCCTTTTATTGAGCTCACCAGACAAACGAATCAACCCGGCTCTTTGAAATTAATTATAGTGATTCAAAGAGTCCTGACACACAATACCATCTATAAATTTTAATAGCACAACAAAAATGTAATCTTTATGACACCTAATCCAACTCGTATAATAATTTGGAACACAGTGTACATTTCATGTTGATTATAAACTTGACCTACATATTCATGTTGACAAGAAATATTTATGTTAATGCCTGATCTGATCGCACAGATAAAGAAATAATACTTATTTACTTTCCTTTACAGTCACATCCACCTCCATGTGATCAGCCAGGACTTTGACTCTCCTTGCTTGAAGAACAAGAAGCACTGGAACTCTTTTACAACAGAGTACTTCATTGATTCTGATGGTGGGAATACACTTATGGCTGTTACCATTTTCTGCATATTTCAGTGTATTTAATAGCTTAACTACAGTATTTGAAAGAATGCATAATTTATTTTTCCCCCCCAACAGATGTTATTCAGATGCTTGAAACAAGTGGAAAAGTCACTGTTAAAGAAGGTTCCAGTGAATTGTTGAAACTACCTCTCCGCTGCCATGTGTGCCACAAAGAGTTTCCTACAATACCTTCTCTGAAGGAACACTTGAAATCTCACTTTCCCCGATAATTATGTGACCTTAACATAGAAGTAACATAGAAGTTGAATGGTGGTTATCATATTTTTCTAAAATGTTGTCTTGCATTCAGTGTTGTAATTATGCAAGTTGAAAACTTGTCACTTGTTTTGTACATTTTTGAAAATGGCAATATTGATCTGCTTGTCTAGAGTGCATTTGTCAGTTCGAAGTCAAATGTTGATCCACTCTGACTTTATTTTTGTTTGTACACTTCATTTTCAAATAGGTTTAGTTCTTCATTCTGATGCAATAAACATTTTCTAGAGACTTTATAGACTTTTCTTCAACTTCCTTATTATATTCTGAAAGAAAACAGTTTCATGCCATCCTTAAGGAAAAAGTTCTGACCGTTTGAAATGCTTTAGGTATATAGTTAACTTGCTTTTCACAGTGAAAGTCTAAAAATGTAATTGTAATTACTTCAAATATGCTGTGCTTTAAAAATTGCATTTATAGTTGTCAGATAATAATAGAACTATTAAGAGGTACTTTTATTAATTTTCAGAATGCATGCAAATGCATACAAATGTGGCCTTGCATCACTTATTTACTTTACAACCATCACAAAAATTGAGTGATTTCCAATTTGACAATACTTTTCACCAAGTTTAATCAAATGAGATAATTTAGCCTTAACTGCAAGTAATAATCACACACCAGGAGCTTTAATATTCTTACTGTTATGACAACTAATGATTCTATCTTTCTCTATATGTGCTTAATCCTCTTTTGGAAATGCTGTAGATTGAAGTGTGTTTTTAGCCCCAGACAACTACTCGATTGGAGAGCAAACAGAACCTTGCTATGACTGAATTAAGAAGTCAAAATAATACCATTCTTAAACTCGCATTTACATACATAATTCTTGCAATATTATTAACTTAGGACCTAGAGGAGCAAGACAGATACGTTCCCATTTCAAAAGGGAAATAGAATTGACATGCCGTTGTCGCCCTCTAGTGGTAACATTTCCAAACAGCAATTTCTGGGGAAAAATGGTACAGCTCCTCGCCAGAAGCTTCTGAAGTTAACGTGGCCATTACGTCACTCTGTGAATTCAAATTAAATGAAAATGAGAAGACGCATGTTGAAAAGAAGGAAAAATTGTAGCTGGCCCGTACGGGGATCGAACCCGCGACCTTGGCGTTATTAGCACCACGCTCTAACCAACTGAGCTAACCGGCCATGTAACGAGGACTTTAGATATATGTATAAACAGCTGAACAGTGCGGCGAATGATTTTTTTCGGCTGCAATAGACACTGGGCTGAAGGTTCACCTAACAGCAGGACTACAGCCCTAGAACATACTGGTAACCCTGGCCCTAACTCCACTCTGGTGGAGCTAAGTGCAAATGGATGTCACAGTTTTCAGATTGTCTTTAAGACAAATCCAAAAGACATGCCTACATCTCATTTCATTTTGCTTCGAAATTATCCATTGATATGTGTTGCCGAGTGACATATATTTTGAATGCGATAAATTAAAATTTGTGGTCAAAATTTTCAAGGGATTTCAAAACCTTTGAAATGAACTGTATCGTTATCTTATGCTGCTGCATGAAAGCTTCATCACAAAGCTTAGCACATACTTTTCCTCTCAGCAACCATTGTTTTGCACGTAAATAAGACAAAACAGTACAGTACGTTCCTAAAGAATTTATTAGACAAAAACATTGTACCACATTTTCTGAATTTCTTGACTGATGGACAAAAAAGATCTCTATTTCAATAAATGCAAGATCCTGTGTATTTATACATGGTCTCTGTGTAAGTGTAATACAGTGGAGGTCTAATTGCTATCACAACAGTCCTGAATACAACGGTTATATTAATTTTATTTCTCACATGTTGTCAAAGCAAAGTATATGTGTAGGTTATATCATCACAGTAATTTTTTTACACTTAGTGAATCAGCGGCAGGTCGCATTATGGCAGAATCAATGTTCAGAGTTGAACATTCGTTAGTCTTTAAGCTTTAAATAAAACTCTGATATGACAAACATAGAGGTTGCATTTCATCATCTTCTGAGTCTCAGTTCCCTGTCATCCTCGTCTGGCAGCAGATGCTCACCCTCTGAATGAGCATCATCTCCTATACTCTGCAGAAAGTACTCCTCACTTTCACAGCTCTGCGTACTATTCACACAGTTTATTGCCCTGACTTGTTCCAGTTCGGCGCTGTCACTGGCATTACTGTCTTCCGTGCTCTTGCTGGCAGTGCTGCTATCGTTGCTGTCGCTTGTCTCCTGGCTCTCCTGGCTTTCACTGCTGCTGCTGTCAGCGCTGTCGCTTGCAGCAGCTGAAACATCGCTGCTGTCACTGGCGTCTGCACTGTCGCTGGCGGTGTCACTGCCGTCGGTGGACTTTTCCAACAGAGGTTGCTTGGTGTGGATCTGAACTTTCTTGGTGTGAGTTGGGTGTTTACCGCTCAGCTCATTGTTCAGGAGTCCCGGGAGACCTGTGACCTCTGTGCTCGTGTTGTCTTCTCCACTTGCTCCTTTGATGACACTTGGAAACACTCTCACCCAACTCTGCTGCAGGGTTTAAAGGAAGCCCAGGTTTACATGGGTGCAATTATTATTTAGTTTTAAATCAAGAAGGTAAAATATGTTTTCTCCAACCTTTCGAACATTCTCCTCACTGCCCATGCTGTTGTCTTTGGTTTCAGCCATGGAGTCCATCTGAGCAGAGGTTATGAAATGAATGAGTCATTGACAGCTATGCAGAAGATTTAGTGAGCGACTATTTTTCTTTTTCCCTTACCCCATCACTCTCGTCCGATTGACTGTCGCTCTCCTCTGACGTCTGTTTTTGAAGACAGTTTTAAGTATTCAGCACAAAGTTTTATAGCAATGCAGCAAAACTGACATTATATTTGTGTTTAATTTAGGCAAAGGTTACGTTTCATTGAATCGCAGTGTCTTGCAAAAGTATTCCATGAATTTCTTTATGTTTTGTTACATTCAAAACTTCAATGTATTTTTTTGGCTTTGATGTGATAGTACTATTAAAAAAAAGTAGGACATAATTATCAAATGGAAGAAAAAATATGTGGGGAGTTTAATATCTTTGAAAACATTGCCATACTTCTCTTTTGCCCCCGAGACTTTCATGCTCCAACATAAAATTTTCTGCAACCAAACTGCCTTCATTGTGCACTTAAACAGTAAATATAGCAGATCAGTGAGTAACTTACTCAGAGCTTTTTTTGTGAAGGCTGTGGGTGTTGGTTGGCAGACATTGGAAAGCAAACTGTATTATGCATGGCAAGGAGCATACCAATAGATGAGGAATAAAGTTATGGAGAAGTTTAAAGTTTAAAGAAAGTTTAAAGTTTAAAGAAACACACACAATCGTGTCCTGCTTTTTATCTATCACGTCATGTCAAAAAAAGAAAGAAAAAAAAAATCCCTGAAAAAAATTTATGTTATTTGAAATCTTTTGCAAGATTCTTTATAAAATGCCATTTGTTGTTTCTCTTGACCAATTTACCAATTCTCTTTCCCTCCAATCTTTACAAAGATTGGAGGTTTGCTTTTTTCTTTTAACTCTAAATGTATGAAACATAAACAACATTGAGTAAATTGATGACAGTGCATATGAATGATTGAGCAACACACCTTGTCCTCTGAAATGGATTCTACTGATTCAGATTCTGAACTCTGTTTACAAAAAGACACATTTATAGCACGTCATTTCAAAATGTTTTAGAGTTATGTGGCAGCAATTATCCAAAATATACTTTCTTCATGGATCAAGCTAATTTCTCGAATTAAAATATCTCACCTGGTTGGAGGTGTTTTCCTCAGAGCTCTGTATCCCAAAGAGTAAAAACAGACATCCACATTTTACTAAAAAGTGAGAAAGTTTTTTGTGAACTTAAAAAAAAAAAAAAAAAAAAAAAAAAAAAAAAAAATATATATATATATATATATATATATATATATATATATATATATATATATATATATATATATATATATATATATATATATATATATATATATATATATATATATATATATATATATATATATATATATATGCATATTTACCTGAAGTTCTGATGTGTTATTTTCAGAAGATTCTAAAACTGATAAACTTTCAGTCTGAAAAAGCAAAACAAGAAACCTATGTGAGCACACACCCCAGTGGTTTTAATTAGATTTAATTACACATGATGACTGCAATATCAACAACCAAAACATTAATTAAAAACCTCCTTCTTGACAAGCTCAGGCTCAGGCAGAGCTATTGCTGCATAAATGTGTAGAGACAGATATGTTTCCCTATAAACAATAGAATGTCAGCAGTGGGAATTGTCTTGAGGTCTGTACCACACCTATTGTTAGGCTTCCTGCTGACTCTGTCAAAGAAACATTTTGTATCCCAAAGATAAGTTGTTCACAGCACTGTTAACAAAATTTTGATTAAATGTGTACATGAAAAAGTATTCCTACTTCAGGACACTTTTTCAGGCATGAAGCGTTTTTTGTTTCTGTAACAGTTCTCAAAAGTGCAAAAAGTACTTTTACTATCACCCTGAACTTTGCGGGTGGAGCTTAATGACGGGAGGGTGCTGAGTATTTCATATTCAAGGTCTAATTTTGCAGCATTATATTTTCAGTCATCCCAAACTTGTTTACCTTCATTTGAATCATTGGAAACTCAAGATGTTATATATTTCAGGACTTTATGTAAGCTACATATATTTACAAGAAACATTTTTAATTACTACCCAATCTTACATATTTTTATCTCAGGTTTCTGTAAATAGAAATGAGTTGCTGTTTTTACATGAATGCCACCTGAATGTGTTAAATTCATCAGTGTAAAATTCATGTCATTATTTTCTAAAGCACGTTCTTAATGCAGTTAATGTTCTTTAGAAAACATTAACTGCATTAACATTTACTATTAGTAGTAAAAACAGTCAAGCATCTCGGGGCATTGAGCGTTCAGGGTAATTAGGTTCAGGGAGAATGGTGGAAATATTACTTACAGAGTTTGATTCAGACTCAGTTGATACCAAAATGTTGTGTGAAATCTGTAAAAAAAAAAAAAACAAAGAGTGAGTGACATCATCATACACTCAGGCATTCAGAAGTTTTTTCATTGAGTAGATATCTCAGAATATCTCATCTCTTATTTCAGTTTTCTTGACACAATATTATTTTTATTTTTTAAACTGCAAGCAAATCATAAAGTTGATAAATGTTGTCAGAAATGTTGGCCTGTTTCAAGAGTTTTGAATTT